GGGGTGGGGGGGGGGAGGTACAGATGGAGGAGGAGAGAGAGAATCAGAGACACACAGTGTGGACCAGAAGCCACATCTTATTATATCATGCACGACTCTCACATGGATGGGGCGTCGCTAGCCCACGCCGGGTAAACGTATAGAAACCTTCTGGAATGGCAGGGATCAAGGGGTCATGTCCATGGGTCATGGGGGGATGAATCCTGGATATCATGGATCATCCCCCCCTTTCCCCTTCCTTGTCCGGGCTGAGTCCTCCTTGTTCAGGGCTCATCACTCTCGAATATTGACAGCCTCTCTGGCCTGCCTGCCTCGCGAGGTGTGCCACATCAAAGACCCAACAGAACATGATTATATTGTTCTTCCAACCTTCGAGAAGGCTTCGGCGACCGTAACTGTTGTGCAACACCGAGTAATACTGTTGGATGAATACTGGTTTTTTTTTTTTCCGTAGATGATTCGCCGCGCATTAATGGCGGCTCTCTCTCTGTCTCACTCTCTTCCCCTCTTTTCTTCTTCTTCTTCTCTCTCTCTCTCTCTCTCTCTCTCTCTGACGACAGCCGATGGTGGGAGGGTCTGTTACCTGATGGGAGGGGAAAAAGTGGGGTTGTTGTTGTTGTTGTTGTTGTTGCTGTTGCTGTTGCTGTTATTCTTGTAAGTACAGACTACTCATGCATAGTTCCAAATCTTTCTTCTTTCTTTGCCTAGGCCCTGCGACGAGATAGAATGATACTACTACTACTCCATGATCGTCTCTCAAACTGCTGCCCATGACTTTGTGTGACGGGACTCTTTTTACCAGGTCTGTGGGTAGATGCGGCGTACCCTGATTGCTTATTGACACGAGAGGGTCGGTCAGACTAACTGCTAGCGTATCCCCATCATCTCATCATCCCATCATCCCAGTATCCCATCCTGGGCGGCATCCCAGCGCTAGAGCCGCAAGTCGTTACGTGCTGGCATCTCCCCCATCCCATCAGCCCAGTACGAGCAATCAATCGTACGAGTAGAGGGAGAGGGAAAGCAACCCTAGCACACATAGAGTGGGAGTCGTCATAACCCCAACCCCAACCCCCCCCTCCCCCCGGTGCGGCGCGGCGTGCACCGGCCAACTACAGGCACATGTACGAGTATGTAGGCGCGCCAGCCTTATCACCGGATTGCCCCATCTGAGCGGGCAGTGGTTTCCGATAGTACTTATCGTGACTATCGTGAACCATTCATCTGCTCGTCTCCGTAACACTCGCCTCTATGCAGAAGGGGAGGATGGGTATCTCATGTCTAGCCTAGTGGCTCTCTACGATCTAAGGCGAACTCCGGACTCGACCTTGATGTAGTACGACTACGCGTAGTAGCAGTCATAATCATAATAACAATAATCATAATCATAATATGAGAGCCGGACATTGATACTACCCTCACCCCTCACACAACACGCTCCCGTACACTATCATTCAAGGGATATCACCACATCTAATCACTAGCCCTCATCAGGATGCAAGCCATGGCATCAATCAACTCCACGTCCTTGGATTGTTCTCTTATAAAAACTGAAAAATGCTTGATATCCTCCCTATCCACATCGTCCGTTTGTTTTCTCTATTATTTCTCTCCTCCATTCTGTTGTGAAGATAATTCTCATCTTACAACCGACACCGGCTCCTTGGTTTCTTTCTGTCTATCCCGAGATACGTCATGCGCAGATCCCAACAAGAAGAGAAACCGGGCGGGCAATCTTCGGCAGTCCATAGCACTCATTACTCGAGTGCACGACACACAATACATAACACATGTACTCCTCACATCAATCAAAATCCGATGAGAACCGAGGGGGGGTCGCGTGTAGTGCAGGTACACGGATACAGTCCGCACAGTATTATCGGCTACATTGTATTATGATGCACCTACTCTTGCAGTAGAAACCACAGCCTCTACTCGGCGCAGGGGAGAAAGGGGGGGGGGGGGGGGGGGGGACGGACCAAGTCCCCAAGGGTGAGCAGGCATAAAAAACACAAATCACCCCGCCCCGCGGCCCGGTGGCTATTGACAGTCGAATAGAGTCAAGCGTATCTTGTTCATTCAGACTCTCTCTATTGCCGTACAGAAGTAGATGGTCAAAACACTCTCTCAATCTCTCAAGTCTTGAGTACAAGCTGACAGCTAGAGCGCGAGCAACGGCAAATTAAATGAGAGTTGGAATATTCCTGCATCTATTCCTGCATCAAATCCGCCTCCCACCCGCCAAATTCCGTCATCGGCATCACCGAGTTCAAATGAGCAGAAGCCTTCTTCTACTCGTACCTTCTACAGAGTATTTATTTCACAGGTGGGGGGTGGGGACTCAACTCTCTCAATGTCCGGTCTGGCAACATTGCGACATGCCACTTTTTTTTTTTTTTTGCATATTCCATTGTAATACCTGTTTTCCTCTTAATCTGTACAGATGATGCAAGTACCAGTATTAAACTATTCCTCGCTCTCGGGTTTTTCTTCTGTCCACTCTTTTTCTATTCTTATTTTTAATTATTTTTTTTATCCCCCCCCCCGCTACTAGCACATGTATTAATACTACCCATGTTTCATCGGGGGGTGAATACAACTGTCAAATGATACCGCCCCGTACTCTCTCGTGCCCTACCCCATGAGCCCGAGTGTATGGTAGATCGGAAAGATGCCACTGCTGATAGAAGAGGTCTGTTGTATCCGTACTATCAAGCAGTTCAGGTAGTGCTGTGGTAATAATACCGATACCGCCGCATTGACCGCTACCTTCCGCCCGCGCTTGCATCTGCGCAAACCTGGGCGTCAAACACAGGCCGGAGTATCTACTAGGGTTCGCTGCAGCCTGCAAGCCCTGCGCCGCTTCCACTACATCTAATACAACGGCATCTTTGCTTGGTCGGTTTCTTATAGTCGGGCTCCTTTTTCCTTCTCTCCTTCTCTCCCTCTTTTCCCTTTTCTTCCCTCTTTTCCATATGTCCTCTTTTCTTTTTTTTTTTCCCTCTCCTCCATCTTACCTCTTCTTTTCCTCTCCCTTTCATCCTACCTTTTTTTCCCCCCCTTCTCCCTTCCAACGTTTTCCCAGATACTACAAGAGTAATCTGTATATCATGCTTCGCATTCATTGTACGATAGTACGTGTACAGATTACCACCACCAGTATCGGGACAACCTCTCGTTACCCTATACGACCGCCTTACCCAGTTTCGACGTTTCATCTATCCACTCCTTGATCTAGATGTGAGACAATTACAATGCCGATCTTCTCTTTTTTTTTTCCAACCTGGGTAGATACTACTATCATTACCGAGAGTCAAGCCTCTCTCGAGACTAGTTAGTAGACCTCGCAGTTCTTTTGCCTGTACATGATGAGCCATCACCACTGCCACTGCCACTGATAGCAGGATAGACGTCCCACACCATAAAAGCTTCTCAATATTACCCGACGTATTATATCAACCGAGTCCCAATATCTGCAATGGCTCAACCGCTCATGATTCCTGATACCACAGCCAACCTCCCGCATACGAACCTGTTCCAAGTATAGACCGACTCTGTCCAAGACTATACGAGAGTCCCAAGTATAGAAACCCAGCCCACCACTCAGCCAGAGGCTACACGTAACACCAACCACTGCCACCACTACCAGCCCTCATATAAACGCATAAACCACCATGACGTACATTCTCATGCTGTCAACGTAATAGTCTTCTTCAACACTCTCGGTAGGTAATCATAGTAGATGGAATGCTAAGCAGGAACCACAATAACCTATGAAATCGTAATGTGGCTCAGACAAAAGCCTAGCAACGATGAAAGAAAGACAGATGACAAGATGAGGAAGACAGCAGTAAAACGCCCTACCACCTTCAACGTGACAGAGCATTACTATACTCGAGTCTTCGGCGTGCACCCCCCATCCCTGCACCCCTTACCCTTCATACCCATGCACTCTCACCACCTAGGCTCCTTCTCGAACGCCGGCGTCTCCGCAATATTCTTGTCTCCGAACGGATCGTCGTCGTCCTCCTCCGACTCGGACTCTAGGGCAGAGGTCGAAGCCGGTGCCGGTCTGGGCGGTCTGGGAGGAGCCGGCTTCGACGACGCATCCGGTCGAGGAGGGGCAGCGCTTCGGCTCGAGTCCAGGTTGAGACCACCCAGGTCCGCGGGCTGGGCTCCGTCGTCGGATTCCTTGCCCTTGTTTTCCATCACTTTTTTTTTTTAGAAAAAAAAAAAGGTTAGCCAGATACAGTCCACCCTATACCTCTCACAGGGCACACCTACTTCGGTATAGATGGGCCTGTTCGGCAAGCTCATCGTCAGAGTCGCTGTCGGCGTCAATAGACCGATCCATCTGCTCGTATGACATGAGAGCGTGGACGAGCATATCGTTAGCGTTGAGCAGACTTCCGAGGAACTGCTCGTCCTCGACGTTGTGTATCTATATATATATATATAATGTCCGTCAGTACTGCCAACCCTCGTGTGTGTGCATGTCGTCAATGTTTGGAAAGAAAGAAACGTACGTAACGTAGAGCTCTTCGTCGCAACTGCTTGCAAGTCTCAAACTGCTCCACTGCCTTGGCGTTATCAGAGATGCGCTCCGTCTCCCTGTTGATAGTCTGGAGAGAGTTCATCAGGTTTGTTGATGAGATGGCCGAGTCGGCAATGACCGACTTCATCTGTGGTTTCTCGGCCTCGAGGTTGAACGGCTTCCTCTTGGATCTGCTCTTGTTCTTCTTATCCTTGGACGAACCGAAGAATGAGCTCGACTTGGAGTGCTGATGCGTCTGCTTCGCTGTCGGTGCCGACGCAGTCGAAGAGCTGGACCCGCCGGCAGCAGCAGCAGCAGCAGCAGCAGCTCTCTGCTCGGCCGCCATCCGGGCCTCCTCCTCCTCATCATCGCCAAACGGGTTCTCCTCCGTCTCCCGAATAACCTTGGATCTCTCCTGGGTCACTGCAGCTTTCCTCTTGGGTAGCTCCTGCAGAGGTGTGTTAAGACGTACTCCATCTCTCAGATAAGAACGGAAGAAAAAACCACTCACCTTGTGCAACTTGGCAATCTGCTGCAGGCCCGGCGTATTGGCATACTGCGACCACTGCCGGAAAAGCTCCCTACACTTATTCCTGACGTCCGGGTCCGAGAGGTTTGACGTCCCGCACACGCGGAGGCGCTCGAGCAGCGGCTCGTCGGCAAACGCCCTGTGGAATTTCGGCCCCGCATTCTGGATAAGCCCGTCGAGGATGACGAGCGCGCGGATCTGCCGGTGCACGCTGCCGTATTTGAGCTTCTTCCGGATTGCGCGCGCCGCCTCCCCAGGCCCCGTGGCCTGGAGCTGAATCGCCTCCACCAGTTCGGGGATGCCGCTCATGTCATCTTCCTCGTATCTCTCGCCCGTGAGGTTCTCGATCCTGACCGTAACGGCCGAGTATGGCTTCTTCTGTTGGGGGGGGGGGGGGTGGTCAGAGAGAGATGTTTTCTTCCCCATCAGTCGAGCGTACGGGAGACACGACTTACACTTTGAAACATGGCGGCGATGCTGTATATAGAGAAAGGATTCGAAACAAAACAAGAAAGAATCCTTCTTTATTTTCTCTATAAGAACCTCTCTCTATCCTTGAGGTATTGTCGTTGTGTTGAAGGCGCAATCGTATGAGTAGATTAGACCTGGACAGACCCCGCCCACACGCGCGCAAAGCCGCAAGGAAGGAAGAGTCTCGAAGCTGAGAACTCGAGGGCTGGGGTGTCGCGTACGAGACCGAGATGGAGAAAGGGAGGAAATCACGCAGCTTCTCTAGGCAAGGAAAAAAAAAGCTATGATGCGCTTTTCCTCCCAACTGCAATGCTGTCAGACGCCGATGTGGTGGTGGTGGTTGTGGTGGTGATGAACAGGGCCGAAGGGGAAAGAGGGGCATGACGTTTGGCGGGGCGCGTGTCGCAAAGTACTGATCTGGTCTGGTGGAGCCTGACGTGGATGGCTCAGCCCTCGTTACCAGAAGCAGGGTCTTCACAGTATCATGCATTCATCCTAGGCACATTTATTATTGTGATGGTACAACCATGAAACTCTAGGCAATTGGGGAACGTACAGGCTTGGCTTGCGAATGATGGACGTGTGCCATTGCGCATGCAATCGTTCCCAATGGCTGTCCGTGCGGACCGGCGGCTTCGTGTGTTCATACCCATCTTTATTGGGATGCTTACAATGAAAGCAGAATTAGACACAGGCCTCTATGAAAACGTACGGGGCTTCTGATATGAGAACTTCTTGGTCTCTGATACAAGTAACCAGAAAAAAGGAAAAGAAAAATATATCACTTTTAGCTTGAATATTCATTCACTCGAAGCAATGGTCAAAAACTCCCTTCGCGCCTGTTGAAATGGCCCCCCTCCTCCTTTTCTCCACGATAACATGAAAACACAGACATGATATGAACAGAGGTCGGAAATCACGGACGAGACGACACATCCTGTTCTGCCGTCTTCGCTTGGTTGAACAAATGATACGTGTACTCGTAGGTTGTAGCACACACGACGACACACGGGCCATGTGGGGGAGAAGACGCTGTCATCGTCTTGCCGCCCCACCCCCGCATGCTTGGTTCTCTTCACGATGTGCGTGAGATGATGGGTACGTCAACAATGGGATTGCCTCAGGATGGTAGGCGGCATCAGAGCGAAACAGAGCATGGCATGACATCCCTGACACATCAGACGAGAGAGCTCTCCTCCCCCTATTCCTGTTTCTTGCCCGAGGTCCTCTCACGCTCACGCTTGGCGTAAATCTCGGCGGTGAAGGGATCCTCGAACCGTAGAGCAGCGAGGTAGACGACCAGCACCCATCCCGTTAGGAGAATGCCCGCAGGCTTGGCAAGCAGAAGCGCGGTGCCCAGGAAGCTCATGGTGGACCCCCAGTACATGGGCGCGCTGACGACGTTGAAGGGGAATCCCGTCACCATCTCGTCGAGCAGGATGCCAAAGTAGTCGCCCAGGAAGGTCCCCGTGATGCCCAGCCTCCACGTGGAAGAGACGACGAGCGTGTTGCCGCATGCAAGGAGAGTGTAGGCTAGCGCCTGGGAGTAAACTGACAGAAGGAGAGGGTGGGTCGGCTGCTCCTGAATCGCACTCTTGTACAGCCAGTCGCGCACCATGCCAAGGGAGAAGATGGTGACAGCCAAGCCGTAGCACGCCGTCTCGGATCGGCCACCGAATAGTCTGGTCAGGACCTTGTTGTGATATTCTTTTCTTCGATCAGTTTCCCATAATCATCCCCATCACCATCATTCTCCGGGCCTCCTTCTTCTTCTTCGTCTCTTTCCCGCTCTACAGTCAAGCACAAATGTTCACGCACAAGGGTTCACATAAGGGAGGGTATAGGACGAACCTTGACGGGCAACGATGCTGGCGACAGAGAAACGTTAGACAAGTCCACGAACACACGTACATCGATAGCCCAGAACTAAAGGAAAGGAAACTTACTTCCAAAACGTAGGGTTGAAAGCGATAGAGCATGCCGACACTATACGTCAGGGATGTTTCTTAGCTAGCACGCCGAATTCTCAATCCATCTCCATCCAGGGGTGATTGAGCGCCAAAAACTTACCCAGCAGACTGGTCTTGCTCAGGTCAACATAGTTGACCAGGTCACTGATCAAGCCGGCCATGATGTCAGAGCTTGGCAGAGGCTACTTAAAACGACAAGTAACAGTGGCACAGAAAAAGTAGAAGACGGTTGTGTAGTGCTGTGCCGTAGTTCCTGTCGTTGTTGTGTTGAGGGGTAGTGCTGAGGATCAAAAAGGAAAGAGAGGGAAAGGAAGAGAGAAATGAAAGGGCATCGGATGAAATAAGAGGGCTTGGACAGTAGAGGGGGAGGGGAGAGTTGGAGCTTGCAGACGGAGCAGCAACAGCTGGCCTCTCGGCAACGTCAAGAAACGATGTTCCGGGACGAGGGAAGAAGCGGGGACACCCATCCGCCGCCCGTTGCTGCCCGCACACTGGTCAGCCGTCATCTGGCTGGGGAGGGGGAAATCGCGCGTTGTGACGCATGTTTAGGTGTGCATGCTCATCATGCTTCTCTAATTCATTCGCGTTCAATTGATACTCGAGATGACTAGTACTTCCAGTACTTCGCTCTGTATAATGAATCAGAGGTCCAAGGTGTGTGTGTGTATTATGCATGTCCAAACACCCACATCAATACTCCATCGTCGACTGTTGGTAGCTCCGTGCAACGGGCTGATATCTGTCATACCTCCCAAAAAGTGGAAATGCAAAATAACGAAAAAAAAAGGCTCCTAGACCATATATACAGGAAGGGAAAAAGCACGATGTATACCCAATTGAAGCTTCGAGGGGGGGAATGTCGTTATATTCGTTAAAAAAAAAAGAAGAAAACCCGAGACTAGAGAAGGGGAAGGATGATCTCGAGTGGGGGTGGACGTCTCCACGCAAAAGATATCAGCACAAGGATGAGGGGAGGAGGGAAGAAAGAGGCGCTGGCAACTCCCAATCACCGTCGTGTCCTTGTCTTTTTGGAAGTCGTTGTCGTATCCTCCTCCTCGTCGTCCTGCCCCTTCTTGAGGTCTTCCGTCAAGCCCCATTCCTCCTTGTCGTACCAGTCTTCTCCATCAGACATGTCCCTGTTCTCGCCCGAATGCGCCTCTGCCTTGGACCAGTGGAGTACGTTCCGGCGCAGGCGCTGCGCCTTGGTCAGGCCTTCATAAAGACGGTGCGCACCGCGGCATACCTCCTCCTGCTTTTGGACGAAGAATGAGAGCAGCCTGCGCACGTCCTCGGCCTCGTTCTCCGGCACCCCAAGGTTGCGGTCCGCCTTGGATCCCGCAGGTGGCAGGAACATGGGATGGACAAACGCCTTCTCGGTGCCTTCTGATACCATTGACGCGGGAGCACGGTTGGCATCCGCGGGTTCGTTTGCGGCAGCGTGTCCGTTGGCCAGGCCATGCGCACCGCCATCGTCCCCTTCTTCTTTTGGTTTCTCGTCACCATGCCGTCTAGCACCCGGTGCCCTGGGCCCGGCGTTTCTGTTATTGTTCTCGTCCACCGGATCGCTCATCGAAACGTCCTCGTCGCCGTTAGTTTCTTCCTGAGCATCGCCTTGTTTGCGTCCGTCTTCGCCCACAGTTGTGGTGCCCTTGGACAGGCTGAGAAGGTGTCGGGCCACATGGTCGTCCGTATACAGCTCGACGTCATTGGGGGCTAGCATGGCCTCGCAGGGGATCCAGATGTGGTCGCCGCATAGCGCCGTCCAGAGGTGGCGGACCTTCCAGAGAGATGCGTTTTCTCTGCGCATCATGGCGCTGCTGTGCTGGACCAGGTTGGTCAGACTCTGCGAGGTAAAGGGCTGGGAGAGGGTCGGGTGGTTTGGCAAGTCGGTTGACGCGGTCAATGGTGCGAGCACATCTGTCGACGACACTGCGTCAGCGTTCTGCACTCTTTTCGGAGGGAGGTGGAGACTCGTATGGTGGCCGAAAACTCACTCTCTAGACGGATGTTGGCATAGGGATCCAACTCCGCGGCCGAAGCCATGGCTTCTTCGATACGGTCGTCGTCATCGTCGCTGTCGACTTCGTACCCTTCCCAGTCGACCAGGGGGGGGTTCCGGTGGATGATGGATCGTCGAACGCCAGCGTAATCGACTTCCTGCAGCGCCGGGCGGTTAGAGAGAGGGCGGCAGGACGCGCACGGGATTGAAGACATACCTCCTTGTAAGCACTGGGGCCTTCAGTAGGGATGAGCTGGCCTCTGTGTGCGAAGCGAGCCCGCCTCTGGAGTTTGTGCCCTCGGTTGCCGTAGCTTTCGATTTCGGAGTCTGAGTCGGAGTCTGCGTCTCCCCCCAAATCGTGGTTAGTGAACGCGAACGCCGGGGTAGAGAGAAAAGGGAAAAACAGGATGGCGCACCGTAGGCTTTTCGCTTGAAGGCCTTTTTCATGCCAGCTATAGTCTCGGCAAAGAGAACCTGTTGGGAGGTCATCATGGGCGTGGTCGCGAACAGCGAGGGAAGAGATTGTCTGTCGAAGGCGGGCTCTCTTGCCTCGTCTCGTCGCAAGAGCCGACGCCGGGGAAAGGATGTCGCAAAAGATGGATATGCTGCCAGCGACGAGTGAAAGAGAGATAATAGTGTATATATTCTGGCCCAGGGGGGCAGATTATGTCCGCAAAGGTAACAAGATGTAGAGCAGTTAGTTACCCAGAGGTCATGTGGAAAAAGGGAGCCCTACCAAAGCAAGCAAATCGAAAACTAGTAGAGAAAGAGAGGGCTTCCTCGGGAAACGCGAGCGGCAGTATTGGAGAAGGTACGTGGGTACTTTCCACTCTACAAAAAAAGCTACCCGCCCGCAAAGCGACAGTCAAGACGCCGATGACAGCACCCTGCTGACTGTCGGTCCAATCAGCTATCTCAGTGCGGAACACCACTTTTTCCGGCGCCGCTTCAATTTACGGAGTCTACAAACGACGCCGACCTCAACGCCTTGCGCTACTCCGTCCGTATCAACCCAAACTCAATTCCTACTTGAAAAAGAGACCAACGAAATTTTTGATGTAAAGTTGTCTTCAACGCTATTGTATACTGTTTCATTATACATCAAGATTGCCTGAACAAAGCAAGCTCAGCAAAAGCAAGGATGGCAGCGATCACCCCTGAAACCACCCCCGCCAGCCGCAGCCTCACAACTCCAATATGGGGAGATAATCTAAAGATACCTGAAGAAAAATAAAATGAATGGATTCAATATTAGGCCATGCATTCTCCGTAAAGTATTTGGAAAGAAGTATTTTCCATTTTAAAAGTCGGCAAACTATCACAGCTCAGTTAGCATCAGATTTCCTGCTTACAAAGGGGGTCTAAAACCAACATTGTCGGGCGAGTTGGAAATTTCCTCAAAGGCTTGCAGAATTTCGAAGCCCATGGCAAGAAGAGGCTCATATGTTTCATCAATAGCCTATAACGAGGTCAAGCTTAGCAAAATGAAAAAAAAAAAAAAAAAACCGACGGCGGCCGTTCCCATTCGAAATGAAACATACCCAGCTAAGAACGGTCTTGCTAGCCTTGTGGCTCTTGTTTTGGCGTACACCCATGAGTGCCAATCCCTGTAGAGCCAATATAGACATCGGGCCAGGCAAGATAATCGGCGCGAGAATACCACCGACACCGACATCGTGACTTCCCGAGATGAGCGGGGGGATGTGAGCCAACAGTGGACCATTCTGCCTGCAGATGATGATGGTACCCAGCAGGTTGCCAGACGGGTCTTTTGCGCGCACGATTCCGCAAGCTTTTGTCTCAGCGAGGGAAGCCTTGTACAGTTCGAGCACCTCGGGATTGGAATTGGTGCGCACGTGGGAGAGTACGTTCTCAGCATTGTCGAGCCCATGGATGAGGTCAAAGCTGATGTTGGCCCGTTGAATACTCTGCAGGAGGCCCTCAGGCGGGGCCCAGCCTGCCAAGTCGGGGATCATCATGTTGATGACGCGCCGAGGGGATTGTATGTCGAAACCACTGTTGCCGAACCACTCCTTCAGTGGACTCACGGCCACGTCGTTGGGGACGCCCAGGAAGACTCCGGGGAAACACATACCCACCTGAATCTTGTTGATACCCTTCTGCTGCTTCAGACCCTTGATTGCCCGCCGGAGGAGCGAACGGCCAATAGAGACGTTGCGCTTCGATGGATCGACGAACAGCGCCCCGATGGCCCCCGTGCCCGACGTGTAATAAGTTGCGACGAATCCATATAATGCGTGTGTGCTGCTGTTGCGGACTACGAAATGTGCCTCCCCGACGCTGGAGCTCAGGAGACCAAAGGTAGACGCTCTCGTCGTCTCTAAGAATGATAGGTCAGGGTTACTGGCACGGTGGACGGCGCGCAGGAGGTCATCCAGTCCAGAACTGTCACGTTCACGATCATACTCCTCCACAAGCCAGTGCTGCCTGGCCTTGAGAGTCTTTTTGCTCTTTCGGAGCGTCCCGGGAAGGCTGCCGGTCGGCGTAAACTCTCCCATGAGTGCACGTACTAGAGCGTGCATGGCCGTCTCGGTGAAGTCAAATGTGCAGATGTAGGTGCCGATGGACTTGTCCATGGCGAAATCGTAGGGTGAGCTCACGGCAACCACGATAATCTGTTTCTTCTGGCCGCGGCTCCTAAGCATGGAGCATATCATGCCTACGTGCTTCGTAAAGCCTGCCTGGTACAGATTGCGATTGGCGTCGGCAGTCACAATAATGATGCAGGACGCCCTATTGATGAGGTTTTCGTGAACTTTTTTTCCCGTAAGCAAGTGTCCGGGGAATATTTGCATGTGGTCAAATGCATCATGCGCTTACCTGGCCGTACTCCGTTAGCAGTGTAGCTGGTATGGAGCAACTTCCCGTTGCGCGATCGAGCCAGCCCCTTCCCAAACTCTCGAAATACACCTTCGCCACTCATGTTGGGCCCATTTTTACGACTGCTGTGGAGCCAGTGATCATGAGCCGTCACGGCGTCTTCTCGTCTGTCTACTCTTGAGTCTACCAAACTCTTCTTCAAGCTGGAAGCCGGTAGGGGCTTCACGAGAGGAGTGAGAAGTAGAAGCTCTTCCGACGGATGCATAGTCGACGACAGTGGAAGAAGCTTCTCTTTATCACGTATGACGGTGATGGAACCGTCATAAACCTTGCGAGAAAGTGCAAGATGAGACGGATGGAGCTGAGAGAGTAGAGAGGTGCCAGGAGGCTGAAGAGCCTTTGACCAGGAGGTGCAGGTAGATTTGATCTTGAGCACGCGCTTGACCGAGGTGAGCAGCCTGTTCTTGGTTATGATGCCGTTCTCAACACCGAGCTTGAGCCCCTTGATGGCCTCGAGCTGAATATCGTACGCACGGCAGAGGAGAAGCAGATCGCACCCCGCCTCCATGGCCATGACGACCCCATTCTGGACACCGAGCTCGTGACTCAGGGCCTCCATCTCCAGGCACTCGGAGATGGCAACACCGTTAAAGCCAAGCTCATTACGCAGCAAATCGTCCACGACCTGGTCTGAAAGACAGGCATGTCCCACGTTCATCGAAGGGTTGGAGATGCCGCAGCCACCGACAAACATGGCATCCAGCTTGCCAGAGGCAATTGCGTTTCGGAATGGGACGAGGGCGCTGAGGCTCAGCTCCTCTAGAGTTTGTGTGATGATTGGTACATCGAGATTGGATCCAAGGAAGTCTAGGTTGCCATAAGATGGAAAGTGCTTGCCGCATGAAGCCATGCCGGCGTCCCGGATACCCTTTAGCGCAGCAAGGCAATATTGGGAGACCTCTTGAGGGTCATCTCCAGTAGCTCTAACGCCGAGGGGCTGATAGCGTGCATTGTTTAAAACATCTAGGACGGGGCCCAGCATCAGGTTGACACCGCACGCTGAGATTTCAGTGGCCGTAGCCTTGGTGATCTCGTAGGCTATGTCAGGTTGGCCGGTGGCGGCCACGCCCATGGCACTGGGGAACTGGCAGACGTAGTCTTCGTCAAAGAGGCTGTTGACGCCACCATTCTCCTGGTCAAGAGCGATAAGTAGAGGGTGCGGATGACCTGCTTGCTGGGCGATAGTTTGGAGTTCCCGTACAAGCCGCGCTGTCTGTTGGGCAGCTGGAGTTGATGGTCAGTGAGAGAACCCATGGCCGAGAAGACGTAAGTTGAATGGGAAACATGACGCGTCTCCGTGAGAACAAGACCAATTACAGGCGCATGGAAACATACATTTGAGATTCTTGGCTGTGAGTATAATGGACCCGAGATGATGATCCTCAATTAGACTCCTGATTTGGGGCGTCACCTCAGTGCCATCCCAGCCCATAATCAGACATTGACCAATAGCCCTGCATATGGTGAGAAGATGGTCAGCATCACTCTAGCTAGTATGAGCCTCGACGAAAACACGATGTTCAACTGTTTGCAGGTGAAGGGTTCATCATGGTAGTTTTTGCGTTGGTCGTCCAGAAAGAGGTGGGAAGCTGCATTAACTTGGCCGCGCCAGAGGCGCGGGAAAAGATGGAGAGATGGGGCAGAGACGAAATAACTGCCGTGGGATGAAGGGTTGACGATGAGTCGGGACATACCATTCCGTATCCTGCCATATTGCGTCCAAACCAGTCGTTTTCCGGCTGTTTCCACCCATTATGTTGAAAGCCAGAGGTGGGGATAGGTGTCATCAGCAGAATATCACGGGGGCATAGTCCAGTCCATGTGCGCCCGTGGTACTGGCTTTGCTTAGCTGTAAGAGGCGTGGAGGAAGCACAGAAGCCGAAGAGAAGAGGGGAAACAGACGCCCGCGAAACTGATACAGAACTTGGGCTGACAGTGTGCACGAGCACGAGCAATAGCAGCCTCGGCTTATGGATGCGCTGTGTCTGTTATTATCTGGGAAAGAAACGTGGATGATAATTGAGTCCGTATCAAGCTGGGGTAACACGAGGCGTATGATGGGCTAAATGTCGGTTAATCAGACCAACGGCATCCTGTGACACCGGTTGGCTGAGATTGAATGAAGCAGTAGCCTTCCAGTATACGATGATGGCTCCTATGAAGGATCATTAAATATTGTCGTTGCCCTCCAAATATTGCGCTCCTAGTTTTATATCAACATCACAGTATTAAATGTTTTACATGCTCATACAAGGTTGAATCCCAGGGTTGTAATACTATTAGTAGCCACTCGTCGTTATTACGTGTATAATATGATGTATTAATAATTATCAACTGTTAGTGCTATGAAAACACTCAATGTCGGTTATCTGATAGTCTTCTCTGGAGTGGCGTGAAATGTTGAAATCTATAGCAAGTGCAGCAGTGACACTGGGTGTTTGCAGGAAGGAGCGACCTGAGGAGTGTGGCGTGAGCGACTGAACGAAGTAAGGAAAGAAGGAAAGAAGGAAGGAAGGAAGGAAGTAGACGAGCAAGCGAGACGCGAAGGACGAGAAAAGAAGAGGAAGGTGCGTCGTAGGGTCTTCTAGTGGGGCCATTGGTCAAGACTCAAGGGTCTAAAGGGTACGTATTGCGCTGCTAGACTAAACCCTTTATGAATGTCTCCGTAATAACGTAACGGAGTCAAAGAAAAAAGAAAGAGAAAAGCACGGAGTATTATTAATACTCTCAGGTATTCGTAGTGCCAAATCCAATTCGGTGGAATTGATCATATTAGTTGGTGGCCACAAGCGGTCCAACGTTACATGCTACCAGTTCCATCATGACATACTGGAGCCGCCCATCAGATATGGACCCCTCCCCCGCCGTGCCTTATCCATATCGCCTCCAGAACGTGTCATGGTACCCATTATATGCACCATGAGAGCGAATCGGCCATCGCTGGCAGTGACCAGTAAACGCTTCTGTCGAGAGGTGAGGTTGCAGTTGCTGATCCAAACTCAAGTGGCATGGGAGGGGAGAGAAAAGAACGTCCCGCATTTCTCCAACGGCGCATGGAACCATCAATGATTGGAATTGCCGGCACCACCGATACTCGAAATAATGATGAAGCCTCTGACTCTGGCTTGGTCAAGATAATGCCGTCGTAGCATCGGCAACGTCCACCCACGATGGTGGGCACTCGTTCCCATGGCGTGGTAACAGTCGTTGAAACACAACCAACCCATGCACCCTCCCACCTCACACTTGCACGAATGATTGTTGTATTTCCCGATATGGTATTACGAGTAAGTTCTTGTAGCAGGTGGCACTGGTTGCCACCACTTGGCTTGCGTTCCGCTCGGCCTCGTCATGTCACTCATGGTTGTATCCAGTTATCCCGCCGATATCGAATCATACTAGTGTCGGCCGTCTGGCTGCTCTCCTTAAGGCCCCGTCATCCTCTCATTAATCTCTTTTTGCCGTGGAGTCACATAAACACCATATTAGGGCATCCAGTCCTTGAAACCGAGCCCATCTCTGCGATACTCGTCCTGGATCCTCTCTTATTCCTCCTCAGAAACCCCGTATCTAGTCAGAAGAGATGCCTATCGCACTCTCCCAGATCGCCCAGGCCAAAAATGGTCTCACAAAATTCACAAACTGTCGCCTGCTGAGGGGTGACCAGCTGGTCAACGATGACCTATGGGTCAGTTCGGTCTCGGGCAAGATCATACACAGCCAAGCCTCCTTCTACGATGAACTCGTCCTCCCCGACAGGACAATCGACCTGGGTGGCCGCATCGTCGCCCCCGGCATGATCGAGTGTCAGCTCAACGGCATCTTTGGCTTCAACTTTTCCACTCTGATGGATGACATGTCCCAGTATGGAAAGAGGGTCAACGAGATCAACCGTCAGCTCATCCAGACGGGTGTCACGTCCTATCTCCCCACAATAACCAGTCAGATGCCTGAGCTGTACCAAAAGGTATGTGTGTGCGACCGAAAAAGTGGTGGCTGATTCGATATATCTTCCCCCTCAGAAACGGGCCACTGACAAAAAAAAAGGCACTCCCGTACCTGGGACCATCGGGCCAAAGCCGTATTGCCGACAACGGAGCTGAATCTCTGGGAGCTCACTGTGAGGGGCCGTTCCTCAGCCCTACCAAGAATGGCGTACATAGTGTTGACGTGCTTCGTGACGCGCACACGTTTTCCGACCTGGAAGAGTGCTACGGTGCCTACAACATCAACAAGGACAACAGCAACATGCAGGCCCAGTCGGGGGACACTGCGCCACTCCCTATCAAGATGATCACGGCTGCCCCGGAGCGCGGCCGGATGACGGACCTGATACCTGAGCTGACCTCTCGGGGCATCATCTACTCGATCGGCCACTCCGAGGCCACATACGAGGACGCCTCGGCCGCCGTCAACAACGGGGCCACCATGATCACGCACCTCTTTAATGCTATGCGCCCTCTGCACCACCGCAACCCGGGCATCTTTGGCGTCCTGGGCACTGCCGAGGACAAGAACCGCCCATACTTTGGCATCATTGCTGACGGCATCCACCTCCATCCCACTACCATCAAGATCTCCTACAACGCCCACCCGGACGGCTTCATCCTCGTCACCGATGCCATGCACCTGGCCGGTCTGCCCGACGGGGCCTACCCCTGGACCAACGGGGAGAACACGTGCAACATTGTCAAGACGGGTTCTACGCTCAGGCTCGAGAATTCAGAGACGATTGCTGGAAGGTGAGTGAGCGACGACACGTTTACCTACCAGTCTTCATCCTTCTTCCCTTCTTCCTTCGAGAGGGGGGTGGAGCCATCCACTTCCATCCCCCTCCCTCCCCCCCCTTTCCTTATACCCGGACCTATCGGGCCGACAGGGAGAAACAAGACCGTTGACAGCGATGCCACACGCGCACACACAACAGCTCCATCACCCTTCTCGAATGCGTCAACAATTTCCTCCGCTGGTCAAGGGCCAGTGTCCCGGCGGCCCTCAACGCGGTGACGGCCACGCCGGCGTCAATGCTAGGCTTGGAGGGCGTCAAGGGCACGCTGGATGCCGGCGCTGATGCTGACCTGGCCATATTTGACGAGAAGATTGACGCCGGCGGTGCCAGTCAGCTTTGCCTCGACCAGGTGTGGAAGTTTGGCACACGGGTCCTACCGTCTGAGACGAAGACCCTATGACGTGAATTTCGTGACAGTTTTTCAATGGGGCGAAGGATCGGGAACACCTTGCGCCACCTATAACTGACGGCTGTCAATGATGATGGCGGGACTGCATAGATGGTCACGTTCATCCTGGGCCAGACACTACCAGATCGGGCCACAGATACCTGATGGCTTGCCTCAACTTAGAAGGATGTGATGTGCACTAGAATTATGATATATATGCAAGCACAAGGATCCAGAGGTTCCAAACGTCTCCATCCCAAATATATACCATATACAGAGATATACAACGGCATTCTACAGAAGAACTGCGTGTATCTTTATTTGCTTGATTAAATGTGTTTCGTCGTTTCCGTTGGCGCGCCGTGCAAGGTGCAAGTGAAGGCGAAGACCGGATGTGGTGGAGTTCGACGAGGTATTCCCACAGGCAGTTATCATAATCAAACGCGGCTACCTAGCCGGCCGGGTCCTTGATCGGATGTAAAGAGCGATATATTCATGGACATATCAAGAGGACAGTTAAGTCTGATGCTACCATGTATTACTATATATTCCAATCTGATGACTCGCGTGGCGTTCAGGGGTAGATGTAGCTTCCCACCACGAATGTTGTGGTGCGATGTTCTTGGCGGGTGTGTAGGTGAGGTGCTCTCTGTGTAGCGATCCTACCCTGGTATGCGGTCGTGGCATTACTGTCTACCCATGGGATTGAAAAAAAAAATTCCGCACTCTTTTGTTCTCTTCCTCTCTCAGCCCCCGTTGAGAGAAAAAGAAATTTGATATTCCATTTCCTGCATCAGCTGATAATGCTATCATTAGCTGCAGGGCGGGATGTCGCACAGCAGGAAGATAACGTCCTGTTGGCACCATCTCGTTGCGACCATCAATCTATGACTCGTAGCTACGTTTTCCGCATTAGATGTGACGCAAAGTGAAATCTCTTGGTTTTCCTAGGTGCATTTTGTGAATTTCATGTATATATCTATACTATCCTTGGATACATCGTGAGGCCTAATATAGTATTATTATTGAGTACATGTGGTATATCGATCTACCGGCGTGGCCCGCCCGCCTTCAATGCCAAGGCCTAAGGGACAGGAAAGATAGGACATGGGGGGATGGTCATTATCAAGGGTAATTAATCACGGACGAATACGTGCGTTGGTAGCTGCGTGCGGCGCACAGATTAGAGTGCTCACTGTTCAGCCTGCGTCGAATATTGAGAAGGGCGCAATGATGCACGGATGCATGAGTGGGAATTGAGAGATGACACCATGATCGTTGCTTTTGTTTACTTACGAGGTTTTGGCAGTCTCTATGCCGTATTAGTTATCGCTCAGTGAGGTGGCTTTTATTTTTACTATATATATATATATATATATATATTTATTTTTTGAAAACTACGACGCCACATCAAGAATGACGAGGGGATTTGTTGGTGTTGGTCGATCTATCATTTCGAATCCTTCCACGGACCCGGTGCGAGGGGGGGAGGGGGGAGTGACTGGAGACTCCAGAGTAATGCACCTACGCAGATTCCCTTTTCGACAACCGCGCAGACGAAAGTGAAACATTGATGGAAGGATTGTAGCTGGTTAACTGCAGGTACGGTATAGGAAGAATGCATATAACTATGTAGTCTATTAGATAGGACGAACCGGAGCAGAAGAAGAAGCAGAAGTAGAAGACGAACAGGACGGAGGGGTTGTTTCAACGAGCACTGGCTGGGACCTCACTACGGGAGTATTGATATTACATGTTACTTGCTTAGTGGAAGTTGGGGATGTCCCCTGTCCCTTAGGGGTGTCCCTTAGGGGTGTCCCCTAGGGGTGTCATCACCTCCGCTAGCGGCCAATTACAGCAGGTCGTTTGTGGACCACCTGCTGATAGGACCCCCCCGGGGCTTCCCTTCCCCTCCAAGGTCTTCCCCCCTCTAGCGTCCAAATCCCCCCATACCATTCCCTCCTAGGCTCGTACCCTGGCACCTACCTGGCTGTCTGTCAGTCGTGCGCTTCATGGCCCTGGCGACACTCAACTGCGCGCACCTGCTCTTACTTGGTCGATTCAATGCATTCTCATCGTACCAGTTACTGGGGCCAGTTCAGCCCGTCCAGTGTATTATCTCAAGTACTGAATAGCAGCTACTTAGTAGTACAAGAAATTGATGTCAGTGAGTTGCTTGCGAGAGTAGACTATTACGGAGTACTGTACAGATTACATACATACGAATATATTACACTGACGCAACGTCCGGACTTGGGGGATTTATTTCCTTTGTCCCTTGCCCGCCACTCGCACTTGCTCAGCCTACTCCACTCACTTTCCTTCTTCCGCACCATCCTGCTGCTCATCGACGTCGACAAACACCAACTCCTTCCAACTCCACACTCTTCTTACCGAACCACGAGTCAACTGCCATCGTCGCCAGCCTGCAGCAGACCTCTTTCCTCTCTCTCCCCTCCTCCCCGGTATCCCCCCGGTATCCCCCCTGCGCGTCTACCTTGGCGTCCTTTCGTTTGCCATCTGTCCCACCCCACTTTCTCTCCCTATTCCCCTCTAGTAAGACCGACGTGGGAATAGGAATGAGACGCCAGCTGTAGGGCTTCCTTGATATCGTCAGTACTGTCTGCCTGTCTCAGTGCCTCTACACCCAGGGGACCAGATCCTTCGGGGCGACGACCGAGACAACAGTCTCACAATCGAACCAACGCCACCCTTTTACGCTTCTCTCTCTCCCGCCTGCTCACTGCCCTTGGAACGACATCCCATCGCATTCTTGTCCCCCCCCCCCCCCCCCCCCCCCCCCCCCCCCCCCCCCCCCCCCCCCCCCCCCCCCCCCCCCCCCCCCCCCCCCCCCCTCACACACACACACACCAGATGCCGCGCTGCTGATCTGCGGCACCCCGAGGATGCCATGGCTGCCTTCAACTCCATGCCGTCGTCTATGCCGGCCGGTGCTCTGGTAGACGCGATGCACGGAAATGCTCTGGGCCATCATCACCACCAACAGCAACATACCCACAATCAACCTCCTCCCGACCTGTCATCTATGCAGCGCTTCGATGTCGAAATGAACTTTGAAGAGGCCCTCCTGTACGTTACCTCTAACCGCTCCCCCATCCTCGGTTCTGCCGCGATGCTAGAAGAGGGAAACACTGACCAAGGCCAATGCTTTGCTAGTGACGGAGGTGCCTTGTCACATCTCCCATTCAACCCCACCTATGACTTTGACAGCCTCGCCACCTTTGAAGATCCCTTTTCTTACTCCGTCAGGGCCTTTGAGCCGCGGCCGAACGAAGATGCGATACTCGACGAGTCCTCACCGCAGCAGCTAGACAACAAGCTGCTGGGCTTCTCTGGACCTGCGCTGTCTGCCACAGTTGTCGACGACATGGGCAAGGTGTGTGACGTAGGCATGACGGCCGAACTGTACGGCATGTTCTTCGTCGCCGAGGATGTATTTGGCGCCGACAGTACCGGCCGCCCGCTCGAGCTTACGTGCTACCGCCGCAACCTCTGGCAGTGCTCGGGCCAGATGGTCCTGCCGCGCATATTCTCCCACATTGTCGATGACCAGGGTCGCCAGGTGCCACTCATGGACCTCTCAGCCACCATATCTGGCGTTGAGTCCATCGAGGGCAAACCCACCGAGATCATCTCCATCCCATGGAAGAACTCGGCCGCCCAGGCCGCCGCCGCTGAGGAGCCCAAGACGGCCGGCCCTCCCCCGACCATCTCCCTCGACCTAGCTGCCGGACAAGAGCTCGATCCCACACGCGTCGTTCTGCCCTTCATCTGGAAGCGTCTGCAGTTCAAGCACGCCACAGCCAACAACGGCAGGCGCAAGGGCCTGCAGCAGCACTACATTGTCCACATCAACCTCGTCGCCAACGCCAAGGCCGGTGACCCTGTCACCATTGCAGAGGTCCACTCCGGCCCTGTCATTGTGCGCGGCCGCAGTCCCCGCAATTTTGACAGCAGAAAGGACGTTCCTCTCACCGGTGAAAAGAGGATCGAGAGGAGGAATACGACTAGCTCCAACGACAGCACCGTCATAAAGTCCGAGAGGGATGCACCCATGAATGTTCAGCAGCAGAAGCCGCAATCCTCAAGTACCGTACCAGTGAGTTCCATGAAGATATACATTTTTAAACACATCCATACCGTCCAAGGAAACATTTATCCTGCCCAAGGCGCGGTCAAACTGACGACCAACTTTAGCATGTGAATGAGTCGGCAACACCACAGTCGTTCCCCCAGCCTAGTCAGAACCCCCACCCGTCCAAGAGAATGGCCATTTCCCCGACGGTCCCTAAACCCCCCGTGCCGTCATGGTCGAGAGAGTCGCCCACCAAGCCCACCGGTTCAAAAACCTCTGGTGCTGCCAAGGGTCGTGCGACGGCCAAGAACAACAACAACAACAACAACAGCCACTCTGCCCCCATCAACCTCTCTCTCTCCGAGGATGAGAGGAGTCCCAACCGCTGCAGCGCCGAAGTGGTCAGCCCTCAAAATGGAAGGGCGGGGACCACAGCTGTAGGAAGGCAGGCGGCGGCGGCGAGTAGTCCGACAGAGTCGGAGGATCCGCTCTATGAGTACTTTCCTCTGAGTATCGATGACTGGTATGTATTTTCTTCTCTCTCTTGAGAGCCCACAACAGCTTATCGAAGATGAATGCTAAATATCTGACATATAGGATGCCTCCTGTCGATGCTATATATCGACCACATGTGGTCCACCATACGGTTATTCCGCCCGAAATCAAGGCGCAACAGGTGCACAGCAGGACAAAACGGTATTTCCTTGCAGACTAGGGATATTTTCTCTCTCTCTTTGACATGGCGCCCATGTACGATATCATACTATTTTCTTCCCTTCTCCTTCTACGACGGGTTCAGACGGATGAAGGATTTGGAGTTTTTCTTCTTTTATTCACTGCGATCATTGAGCGTATTTTGGTGGATTTTTATTCATTTCATAGCTTGTTGTGTTATCGGCAGAGTGTCTAGCAGGGGGCATTCTTATATATACCTGGATAATAAAAGGTGCTACTATCAGCCTTGATCTCAGTTGAACAAATGCATCTATCATCATTTTACTTCTTGTAGTTTCTCTCATTTATGATATAATATCTTGGTTGCCAAGACCGGTGCAGGTTACACGTATCTTTGGCTGCATGGAGTAATTCTACCCGTAGTATTAGTAGTGAACGTTGCATACACGGGTGGAGATGGGGGAGGGGGGAGGAAGGCAACGACGGCACCGGACATGTACTAATGTCGCGAGCACGTACGTAGAAGGTTAGCATGTGACGACGTCAGATGATTGATCGATTTTTCCTTGATTTATGTTTGTATTTTATGTTTTCTTTTTTGTTACAAAATAATATTCCCGCAGATTAAAGGTACAATCTAGTTAGGGTAAATGTGTTCGTGGCCAATTTTGTGTCTTAGTCTTCTTGTCCCATAGCGATGAAGAATGTAAGAAGGTAAGGATGAGTGCCGAGAGCAGAGCAGTAGGATTTTGAAGAGTAGATGATTAGGGAACAAAGTAGGGACGGTAGGGGAGAGAGAGAGAGAGAGAGAGAGAGAGAGAGAGAGAGAGAGAGAGAGAGAGAAGCAATGATAAGCTAAAAGTCAACAAGGAGAAGTAGTGAGATATATAATGAAATAGAAACAGGAACAAACAATCATATCACGTTGAAAGAGCCGACACACACTTCCCTAGATGACGATGGGAGTAGGCTGGTGGTGGTTGACATTCCCGTTGAGAAGCTGCTTCTCGGGATTGGGAGTGAGGCGCTGAGTGAGCTGAGGCTTCTCGGGGATACGCGAAGCCATACGGTCGGGGACAAGGTCTACGTCCGGGGAGACGGAGCGAACGGGGTACTCGTTTGCGGGAGTGGTGGGACGCAAGAGGCGGGAGGTGGTGGGTTGAGGTGCGAGGATGGTAGGTGAGGTGGCGATGGGGGCTTCTATGAAGGGTACGTGGACCTCCTGGGCGTTGGCGGCTTGGTTTCCGTCGCTGCTGCCGGTGGCGGTGCTGTTTCCGGTGCGGACCTTGGAGGGGAGGATCTGCTCGAACCCCTGTTCGACGGCGACCTTCTCGATGGACTTGAAGTATTTGACCGTCTTGACCTGGAGCTCGAGGGTGGCGTCCTCGTCGACACAGATCATGGGGTGCGGGTGCAGCTGGAGGCTGGACAGGGTCCACATGTGGTTGACCCCCTGCTCGACGCACCTCTGGAGGGCGAGGGACTTGCGCTGCCCGAGGATGATGGCGACGATCTCGCGGGACTCCAGGACCGTCTGGACCCCGACCGTCAGAGCCATGCGGGGCACCTGGGAGACGTCGTTGCCGAAGAAGCGGGAGTTGGCGAGGATGGTGTCGTAGGCCAGCGTCTTGACGCGCGTGCGGCTGGCCAGGCTGGATCCCGGCTCGTTGAAGGCGATGTGCCCGTCGTCCCCTATGCCGGCGAGGAAGAGGTCTATCCCACCCGCTGACCGGATGGCCTCCTCGTACGACACGCACTCGGCCTCGAGGTTGGGCGCGTTACCGTTCAGTATGTGCACGTTTGATGGGTGGATGTTGACGTGCGCGAAGAGGTTGGTCCACATGAAGGTGTGGTAAGACTGGGGATGATCACGCGGGATGCCGACGTATTCGTCCATGTTGAAGGTGACGACATTTTCAAAGGAGATCTATGTTTTTTAATTGATTCCGTCAGTCTTTGTTAAAAAAAAAATCATCTCTGTAATATATATATATATATATGTGTGTGTGTGTGTGTGTATCATCTTCTTTCTTTCGTTCTCTTTTTTTTTTTTTTTTTGGAAAAGACGCAGAGAAAGAAAGGGAAGAGAGTATGACGAGAGAGAAAAAAGCGAGAAAGAGGAGAGAAAACTGACCTGGCCGGATTTGTACATTTCTACCAACATTCGGTATACACCGAGAGGACTTGACCCTGTGGGAAGTCCCAGCACAAAGGGGTTCTGAGGAGTAGGCTGGAAGGCCTTGATGCGGTCGACAATGTACCGCGCCACGTAGGCGCTCGTGGCCTCGGCATCGTCACGGATGATGAGTCTCATTGTGGTGAGTGGCTGCGGTGGCTTCAATCCGAACAAGTTGTGTCAAGATTGTGTGTGTAAGTGGGCGAGTGTTTTTTTCCCTTAGGTTAGAAGGAGCGAGGTAGAGAACAGAAGAGTATCTTGGGGAATTTCGCTCTTATAATCGAGATAAGCCATTCATTCTAGTATGGAAGATATGGAAGATACCCAAGTTACTTCTGCAATACACGGTGGTGCCCTTTTCTCTATCTGATTTACTGTATTATTACCGTTTTGAAGATAACTGTATGGCAGATGAGGAGAGGAGGGGGGGAGGGCGTGTTTAGTTCACAGGTAGCATCGATGACCTAGAGTGGCAAGCCCTTCTGATGGGCGCACCATGTTAACTGCGATGGACCCATGGAATTAGAGAAACTGTCATTTGGGCGGCACGGACGGATGTGATTGACTCGTTGGCGGAGCCGAAAAGGCAACGTGCCGATGTAATGACACTGAATTGGCGGGGGGAGGGGGAAGGGGTGTAACGGAATCGGGTGACGTTATAAGGTTAACAGCGGTTTTCTCCTCCCCAGCACTTCTTCAGTCTTTTCCCTCATTGCTGAATGGTCATGAAGAGTGGTGTGTGTGACCATATCTAGTATCTTGAGAATGTTTCAGTGTGTTGGTGGTGTTGAGGGTAAGAGTAAGTGGCTCCCTGATGGAACGTCACCGCGTGTCCGGGTCCTGGATAGTGGTTCTATCCACTTTGCCTCTATAGCGCCGAGAAGATTACCACTTGCTTGGTATGAGTAATACCATGTTGGGTAAGCCACTAGGTGAGCCACGAGTAATACAAGAGCCGTCTCTGAGAAACAAACGGAGGAATATTGAATCGTACATGTAAAGGGCCCAGAGTGTTGACGATTCATGCGCCGTACATTAAGCATGCGCCTGGTGGCAAAATATTGGCTCAGGGATGAACACGCTGCTGCCAGTCATCGATGCTACCACCGCCAACACTCTGATGAGGCTCGTCATATCGCAGCTTCATGTCGTATTCTTTCCTTCTTCTTTATGTTTATGTCTGTGACATGGTATAGCAAAGACTGGGCCAGTCGTTGCAACAACAGTCGAATGGGTCTCGGGTTGGTTACTCCAGTCTGATTAATCGAAGCCCTTGGTAGTAATAATATCTTGACGATATTCTGAGTCGTTTCGTTTCAGTCACATCGTAGATGAGGAATCGATACGAAATATTACTGCTAGTACGAAGTAGCTGTGCTTGTAATCTGTAGATTGTGGTAGTAACTCTGCCAACTATCCGGATACGACATGAGATGCAAAGAGAAGGAGAAAAGAGGGGCTTTCAAACGGAGAAGCAGGGACAGGAAACCTGGGTCTTATACTGACTTCAGTCTGCTAGTTCTACATGTAGTAGTATCAATGCATGTAGTGATGTGCGTGTGTAGGATGGATGCTGCTAATGGTAAAGGTGATGGTGATGATGAAGAGACCGAGAAGATTGGATGTCCAGCCATCAAATCCTACTCGTTCGTACCTTCCCTCTGTCAGCTCTTGCCTCTTTTTAGTCAATCTTATGATTCGACTCCTCCCCCTCTTCCTTCCCCTTTGGGACAGTGGATCGCAAAGTCGCAACGTTACAGTCCCACCATCTCAGTCCTTTTTTTTCTCCGGCTCCATACGACGTATTACTCCATATATTATTGCTGCAACCAAAACGACTTACGTGTAGATGCTGCTACGACTAAGATAAATGTACAACGACAAGCTTGTCTTGTCTTTTGCTCTCCTCTTGCAGTGGACACGTCTGCCGACTATTACACGTCTGCTAATACTACGTATTATTACTCCAGCATTAAGCAACCATGGATACTACCACCACCACTACCAACTAATAATAATACCACAACAACAATCACCACCATACAAGGAGCAACGGGCGCTCCCGCATGAGCAATCCGCGTCTGCACTAGACCGTTTTCAGCCCCGAATCTGTTCACTCTATTGCCGATTACATACCTTTGCGTGTACGTGTCGTAACCTGCTCGACACTTGCCGCCATCGGTAAAGATTGCTGTCCCTGCATCCTTCTTCCCCAGTTACCTGGCCTGTCGCATTGAGAGGTACGACGAACGAGCCCCTCCAACTGGCCCCTCCAACCTGGAACTGACCTACACTCTCCATCTGGCCCCCAACTACCCGAGCCCTGCTGCTGCTCACATTCTTGCCATGCGCTAGCTGGTCCCTTTGGCATAGCTTTTCATTTGTAACGTCTGACCACAGGCCACGAGCTTCGCTTGCCTCTTTTGCCCAGACCGCCTGCACGAGAAGCTGAAGACTTTTTACTCTCAGTATCCGCCTCCCTCCCTCTCTCTCTCTCTGTCTCTCTCTCGTATCCACCCCCGGTTCCGTTAACTTGCCCGCCATTCATCATCATTTACCAGCAAGCGGGCAGGTTCCATCTACTCAATTGCCCGTCGCCGCACCTGCTACCCACGTGCGCCTCTGGCTTCATTGCGGCCCCTTCAACCATCCATCGTCCATTAAACCCCTCCACCCCCCCGGTCCTCTCTGCGCATATCAGCCTGCTAGTATAACCCAGCCGATCCCTACAAGTTCCTTCGTGCCTCTCATCCGTTTCTCTGTGCTCAGGTTGTCTGGTCTTTGGGACGTGACGGGAACCGGGCTCTGTCTCCATCCCTTTCCCCTTATTTTCCGACGGCCATTGCCCAGACCAAAGTATTGGTAGCATCCCATACCGCGTATGCCATACGTGCTTCCCCCATTGAACTTGTTTCTTCTTTTTATCTTTCACAATTCCTTCTTCCTATATTTTCCATAATTCGGCCCCCGGCCTTCCTAATCTCTTCAGTCCCCCGGATCGTGGTCTTTTCCAACAAGGTCAACTATAACCAAAACAACTTCTGCATTGTCGTGGTATAAACTCCTTTACACCCGATCCATGACCTGACAAACTGTCTTGTACAGCTCTCGCTCTCCCTACTCTTCTACCCCCTTTCAGAGTTGATTGTTTCAAAACCTCTCCTCCCGATTTCTCGTATCGTCGGACAGTCTCTGTGCAGCCATTCGTTTCTGCCATGGCGTCATTCAGAAAGGTCGTCTTGGCTGCCATCATCAAGAGCTTTCTACGAGGAAAGACCCTGCTGCAGGCTATTCTGACGTATTGGATCAGTCCTCTCAGTTGGAACGAGGGCAAGGGTCGCTTCGTCACCACCAAGGCCCCCCTCACCACCGTCCACGAATTTCTCAAGACCGCTGAGACGGCCTTTCTCGGCCCCGTCAGTGGCCATGGCCTCAACCGCCTGTCGGCAGACCTCAAGCGGCAATATCTAGACTGTCTCGAGTCGGACATGCAGTGCATGCTACCGTCATTCAACCACCTTCTTCCCACCGGTGACGAGGCGGGTCAGTATCTGGCTGTAGACGTTGGTGGCTCGACCCTGAGAGTTGCTGTCGTCGAGCTCTTTCACAGCCAAGACGACGCTGGTCGTCGCCGTCACGAGAACCGCATCGTCAGTATCCGCAGCTTCTTCATCAGCCAGGCCATCAAGGATCTCGAAGGAGTTGCTTTCTTTGACTGGATGGCCACACGTATATCTGAGACGCTAGCTGCCACTGACTTCCAGGGCGACGGCCCTCTTACTATGGCCCTGGCTTGGAGCTTCCCCATCGAGTAAGTCCTCTCAAAACCATGACTGAGAATCGGACATCAGACACTAACAGAGAGACTCCCAGACAAACATCACTCCGTTCTGGCAGGTTACTGGGCATGGGAAAGTCCTTCAAGGCGAGCCGCGGCCTGGTAGGTCAGGATCTGGGCAAGATCATCGAATCCTCTTGCAAGACCATGAGACTTGAAGTCACAATCGAGGCCATCATCAACGACTCAAGCGCCTGTCTCTTATCTCAGGCCTACACTCACCCTTCGACACGTTTCAGCCTCATATTGGGAACCGGCTTCAACGTCGGTGCCTACCTCCCTACCCCGCTCATCGGTCGCCGCAAGTTTGCATCCTACCCGGCCGGGTGGCTGGAACGTGCTAGTCATACCATTGTCAACACGGAGCTGAGCATGTTTGGCCGCAACGCCCTGTCCCTCACAAAGTGGGACATCCAGCTGTTAGACGGTCATGCCAGGCCCGATTTCCAACCTCTCGAGTACATGGTCAGCGGCATGTATCTGGGAGAAATTGCCCGGTTCGCCCTTCTCGAGGCCATCGAGACGACCGGCGCCTTTGGCGGCATCGTGCCGCCGTCGCTCATCAAGCCTTACTCGCTTGGTTCCGACACTCTGTCCATGATTGAAATGTATGTGTGCGTGAGAACTCCTATATCTTCTAGGCAAGTGACTAATCACAGACCAACCGTTTGTAGGGACACATCCGACGATCTCCTCAAAGCCTCCGCCATCTTCTCTGAGCGCCACCCGTCTCCCCACACACCCACGACCGAGGACCTGCTCCTCCTCCGCTCGCTGGCCACCTATATATCGCTCCGTTCCAGCGCCCTCGTGGCTGCAGCCGTCTACACGTTAGATCAAGTGCGCGGCGAGAGCCACAGGTCGTACGTTGCCACCCTCCCCGAGTCGTCCCCTCTCCGGCGCGCCGCCGAGGCCGATCTCGCCCTCGACGAGACCGTCGTTGCTTTCAACGGCAGCGTCATCGAGAACTACCCCAACTACCTGCTCAACTGCCAACGGTACATTGACGACCTCGTCCGGGGCACTGTCGGCACAGGACCGGGGTCGGTAGCCTCCATCAGGCTGGTCCCCGCCAAAGAGAGCTCGCTTGTTGGAGCGGCCGTGGCGTCGGCCTGTGTAAAGAGCAATGCATAATATCCCGGTGTTTCATGATCAGAGGTTCATCTCTTTTCAAACTTCTACCTCGTTCTACTTCATCTCTTTATTCTTCTCCTGCACACATTTTTTTGCTTAATACGTATATATCCCCTGGAGTTTTGTTCTAAAGAAGCGACGAGCATTCTTCTTGATATTCTTCTTCCTCTTCCTCTTCTTCTTCTTTGATCCATCCTTGATTGAATATTTCGGGTCTGCATGTGAGCAGAACATACTTAGGCGCCGGGTTAGCATCTCATGCCTGAAATTCTGTCTTCCATAACCCTTCATATCTTTGCTACTTTTTAGCGACACATCTTGGTGCGGTGAGCCACGGATGATACCTTGCTTTCTCACTGGCCGAATGGCTCCTCCTCTAAGAATCTGGGAGTTTAAATGTGAGGGGGGGGAAATAGGAAAAATAATCAAAACTGTCACATTACTTTCGCCTCTGCAGTCGGGATTACATGATCTCTAGTACTTTTAGTGCTAGTGTTAGTAGAACAGTGTTCGTAGATGCGTGCGCTGTTGATATATTAGGGAAGAAGAGTATTGATTGCACGGGCGTTCACATGTAGACGCGCGCCTTGAGTGGTTGCTTCTAGAAGCGCGTCGAGGGGCGTAGTGGCGGCGGGGTATACTGTACCAGGTACTCAATCTTCTCCACTATTCATGCGAGCAAACTCGTACTGGGAACATCTGCCTACACGTGACCGCCTGCGTCGTTCGCGTTACACTTGACCGGTCCTCGCGTTTCTGTCTCAACAAATGGGAAGCGCGTAAACCGTTTTCTTTCGCCTGTCCGTGTACACAGCTTAGGCAGCGGCCTGTTCTCTGAAGGCAGCAAAATCTGATAATCACAAACCCCAATTTACCTTCGGGGCTTTTTTGAACGCTGTTTATTATCCGTAACCACTGTGATTACTTTTGGTCAGTCCCGACATTACCGAAGAGAATACGATACGCAGAAAAAAAAAACAGAGAACGAAGAACGAAGCCATGGGCGACGACGGCAAGGGTGGCCTCTTCGCCGAGTGCGTCATCGCTTTCGTACCGAGCAGCTCCCTCGCACCGCGAGAGATAGCCTCGCTGACGAGCGTGGTCGAAGACAACGGCGCGACAGTATGCGAGCCCCGACGCCGCGACGGGTCCATCGCCGTCGAGAAGGCCACGCACATCATATCCAACACGATAGACTTCCCGCAGTTCACCGAGTCGCAAGCCGTCATGATACCCGTCGTGACGACACAGTGGATCGTGGCATCGGTGCACCGCCGCAAGCAGGCTAACGTCCGCCCCTTCTCGCCGGACCCCCGCATGATCTTCTCCCAGGTCGTGGTGTCTTGCGGCGATCTGCCGCCCATGGATACCGAGAGCATACTGGGGGCTACCATGGCCTTGGGTGGGCAGGAGTCCAAGGACGCGAACCGGCTCACCACGCATATCTGCACATTGACCATGGGTCACGAGAAGATTAGGGTGGCGAGGGAGAAGGGGTGGAAGGGGAAGATTGTACTGCCGCACTGGTGAGTTCAAGGTCATATACCCAAGGAGAGGGGGTAGAGGGAAAGAAACTGATGTTCTCTGCTACGCACAGGTTCGACGACTGCTTCAAACTTGGCAAGAGAATAGACGAAGGCCCATACCTGCTGCCCGACCCGGAAATTCTCAAAAAGTCTCCAGATGACGACCTCGACATCCCCGAGAATGCCCATCTCGATGGCGCGTCATCGACAAATCCGCAGTGGCTGCCGCTTCCCCCAGACTCGGATGTTGAACGGCCACCCGCCACTGTCCTGCAAGGTCGCAAGGTGATGCTGTCAGCGGATCTGAGCATCACGAAGCGCTTCATGACAGCCATCTCGGACATCATCGCCAACGGGGGCGGCAAGGTGGTCAACGACGTGGACGCGTGCGACATGTTCATCTGCCAGTACCGCGACGGTGAGCAGTATGTGCGGGCAGCGCAGTCGTGCAAGGACGTGGGCAACCTGTCGTGGCTATACTACCTGATCGTGCGGAACGAGTGGACGTCCCCGCTCCGGCGGCTGATGCACTACCCGATCCCACGCGACGGCATAGAGGGCTTCCGCGGCAAGCGCATCACCGTATCCAACTACGGCGGCGAGGCGCGCATCTACCTCGAGAACCTCATCAAGGCGTGCGGCGCCGAGTTCACCAAGACCATGAGGGCCGACAACACGCATCTCATCACGGCCCGCAATACGAGCGAGAAGTGCCGCGCCGCCCCCGAGTGGGGCATCGCCGTCATCAACCACCTCTGGATCGAGGAGTGCTACGCAAAGTGCGAGATGAAGCCCTACAACATCAGCAAGTACAACCACTTCCCTCCCCGCACAAACCTCGGCGAGATCATCGGCCAGACCTTCTTCGACGAGTCCCGCCTCCGCGAGCTGTACTACCCCGGCGGGGAGGAGACCCTGTCACCCCGCGCCAAGCGGAAGCGCAAGATTCTCGAGGCGGCCGAGGGCAACGCCTACAGTCACGGTCCCGCCGAGGGCGTCGTCATCGGTCGTGTTGGCCAGGGCCATCGGCAACAAGAGAAGGAGCAGGAGCAGGGCAATGAGACCGACGGCAACGGCGATGTTCCCATGGCCGATGGCGATGACGATGCTGCCGTTCCTGCCCCTGCAGAGGAGAGGAAAAAGGAGGCACCGGCACCGGCGCGACGCAAGTCCAGGACGGTGGCTACGCCCACAAGAGCTGCCGGTAAAGAGAATGACGCACCCTCGGTCACGTCTACGGGCGGCAGGAGCGCAAAGGCTAAGGCGCGCGAGATGCTGCAGAACATCGCCCCGGATATTGCCCTGTACGAGAGGGAGAAGAAGCGTCACAGCAAGACGGGAACTTCTCCCTGGGGTGGCAAGCGTGCGCTGGACCTGGTGGAGAAGGAGAAGGGCAGTGCCAAGAAAAATAAGGCTGCCAAAGAAGACACGGAAGAGGATGACGGTGATGGAGATGAAGAGGAGGAGGAGGGGGGGATGGCGGAAGATGTGCCCAAGCGACCTGCCAAGAAGGCACGGACGTCATTGCCAGAGGTGAATTACCGTATCATCCTGACGGGATTCAACCGATGGGTTGGAAACAAGAACAAGGAGAGTCAAGACAGAGTGAGTTTTTTTCTTCTTCTCTCAAGCTCTTTCTTTATATCTGGTCATTTCTATCTTTGATGGCTAACAAAGGCTTCACCTTTTACAGAAAAAACTCCGAGACATGGGCATACTGATTGTTCGAGAGGGCCAAGCATGCGACTATCTTGCGGCGCCGCACATTGTGCGAACAGTCAAGTTCCTGTCTGCGCTCGCACGAGGGCCGACGGTGATATCGTCGACGTTTGTGGAGAAGGCGCTGGAGACGGGCAAGGTCCCGGAGTCGCCCGAGGACTTCGTTCTGAAGGATCGCGAGGCCGAGAAACGGTATAACATCAGCCTGGACAAGTCGGTTCGGCGGGCAAAGGCCAACCGGGGCCGCCTCCTGTGGGGCGTTCCCGTGTACTGCACCGAGAACATCCGCAACGGGTCGGAAAGCTACAAGGCCATCGCCGAGGCCAACTCGGCCATCTTCAAGCTCTACCGGGCTCGCAGCGGGTCGACCATCAAGCCGACAACGGCCGAGGAGGATGGGGGTCGGCCACCGGAACCGGTGTATCTCCTCAGCAACACGAGCGCCGAGGAGAAGAAGATGTGGCCCCGATTCAGGGACATGGCGGAGAAGGGTAATATGGAGCCGCGCATCGTGGCGCCGGACTGGCTGCTCGACGTGGCCATGGCGCAGCAGGTGAGGTTTGATGAAAAGTTTTTGGTAGAGAACTTTTTCAAGGATGAGTGATGTCCTCTGTCACTTGTCCCTCTTTCTTCCTTGTTCCTTCTTTCTCATGATTCCTCCATCTTGTAATGTAGCATATAGCCTGCTTTCTTTTTCATTGTCGTTGAAGCCTTACGAATATCGAATAATATCTTTCTCTTCAAATCAGAATAAAGAAGAATGCGTTGGCGTGTGCAAGGTGTACAAGGCGAAAAGTTATTGGGGGGGGGAGAGCCCCAAGAAAGAAGGAAGGAAAAGGAGAAGACGGTTTTCTTCTTTTTTCTGAAGAGAAGATAAAAAGAAGAAAGTTAAAAGAAAAATTGGTTAGAAAAACTTGACACCCTGCGAATCGTCGTGACCGAAGATCTGAGCCTTCCCCTTCTTGACCAGGACATTGAGCGCCTTGAGGAGGACATCGCCATCGATGCCGTGCAGCTCCGTGGACCTCGTGGCCTCGCCCTCTGCGAGCTCGTACAGCGTCAGTACGCTGCCCTTCTGCGCGGTGCTCTCGATGAAAGACTCGATGATGTGAGCCCACTCGGACGGTCTACGCCAGTAGATGAGGACGACGTCGCCACCGCCACCGCTTCCTCCTTCTCTACCGCCGCCACCGCCGGATGAGGATGATGACGGGTCACCTCCGCCTCCGGACGGGAACGACGAAGATGATGAAGAAGACGAGACGTATTCTGCCCTACCATCCTTCCGCATAAACTCCAGAAGCTCCCGGATATCGGGAATCTGGAGTCGACGGTCCAGACGTCTGTTGCAGAACAAGTCGGACTCGGCCGCCGAGGAGACGGTCAGGCGGAAGATGCGGTGGTGGCGGGTGTAGGAGAGGACCAGGGCGGACCACTTGGTCAGTTGGGCGTGGTGGGTCGTCAGGTTGGCCTGCCGGGTGAAGAAGGCTGGGAAGGAGTATTCCCGGGGGAAAACGAAGGGTTCTGCGTTCCCCGATGCTGTGGCTGCCATTGCGAGAGCGATGATGATGCTGGTGTGATGGGTGAGATGTGGGATCGAGGTTGGCGGGGGGAGGAGCAGGAGCAGAGCAAGGATTAATATTTTTTGTGTATATGAATACTCACTGGTGCACAGATTATCGAGGTGGAACACCCCTCACCCCTCCCCCTCCCCCGGGTAGGGGCCGCCAGAGACATGAGAGAGGAGGGGTGGTAGGTAGGGATGTTTTGTATCGTTGGGTTTCCATAAAAAGAAATTGAAAAAAAAAAAAAAAAAAAAAAGAGAAAATGATTGAAAAATGTATATTACTGGTATTATATAAGAAGTAAGATAAAACGACATTATAGATCCATGATTAGGTATAGAAAGAGAAACAAGGTACGCACTTGTTAGCGTCAGAGTGTCAGAGGGCAGCATCACAAGGAACAATAAGTTGTCTGATGTGTGGTGACCGGGGTCTTACATCAGTGAGGATATATCATAATATCCAAGATTTGTGAGGGGGGAGGGGGGGGGGAAGAAGAATAAGTACGGAAACAAACAGGAACAGCAAGAATGGAAAGAGAAAGAGAAGATAAAACACCTTATACCTAGAACAAGTGTTCGTACGTAAAGGACAAGTCCCCAGTGGAGCAACGTGCTTCTCCGCGGCGACGACGATGCCTTTCTTCTTAACAACGCGACAAAGACATGATTGGCCCTCGCCACGCTCTTCTTATCAAACCATCTCGTCTCCCCCTCTCTTCCTCCACGGAGTTTGTTTGTAAATACGCAGTCCCGTGGAGATGCGACGAGCGATGCTCTTACTCTGGCTATAGAGCGGGACCAATGACCGGAGATGCATTTCGCAGGCGAATCCGTGTCCGACCTTTGCCCCCCCCCCGGGAGGGGCAGGCGAGCCATTACACACAGAACACGCACAAAATCACTAAAGAACCACTGCTCCCCTACCCCCTTTGTTTAATCCGATGTCTCCTCTCTCCTTCTCCCTCTCGTATGTGTTGGGATATATGTAACCCAACAAAGCCACAGCCATGGCGGTTCAGAGGCATAGACTCGTCGTGGTCGGCCTCGGAATGGTTGGCATTGCTTTCATGTGAGTGGTCCGATCCTAGGGAGAGAAAGATGCACTTGGAAATCACAGCAGAAGGGGGGAAAAAAGAAGAAGGCAGAAAGGAAGAAAGAAAAAGGAAGAGGAAAAGTTGACTGTCTCATGTAGAGAGAAACTGTTGAAATACGATACCCGTACGAGGGAATACGACATCACCGTCCTGGGCGAGGAGCCTCATCTGGCGTATAACCGCGTCGGTCTGACCAGCTTCTTTTCCCACCGGAAGATTGAGAATCTGTACCTGAATCCGGAGGAATGGGTACGTCATCACGCCTGGGACAGCGATAAACCATACAGATACACATGTTGCTGACACGGGAGTCCGACCTTCAGTACGCTCAGGTCCCAGACGGTGCTCTGGGCCACCACATCAACACAAAGGTGACGGGCATCAATCCGCAGGCCAAGACGGTGTCGTGTGAGGATGGAAGAGTGGTCCCCTACGATACCCTCGTCCTCGCTACGGGGTCCGATGCTGTCCTCCCGCGGAGCACCCCCGGTCACGACGCCGCGGGGGTCTTCGTCTACCGCACGATAGACGATCTGGTCCGCCTCATCGACTTTGCCGACACGAGGGGGGGCTCCGTCGGGGCCGTCGTCGGCGGTGGCCTGTTGGGGCTCGAGGCCGCCAAGGCCATGATGGACCTCGGGAGGTTCGAGAGGGTCAGGCTCATCGAGCGCAACCGCTGGGTGCTCAGCCGACAGCTGGACGGCGACGCCGGGTCCATGGTGGTCCAGCAGGTCAGGGACCTGGGTCTGGACGTGATGCTGAGCAGGCGTGTGGGCCGCATCAAGGTCGACGCCGGCAACAGCGTCACCGGTGTCGTGTTCGAGGACGGGGAGGAGATGGACTGCTCCACCATCTGCTTCGCCATCGGCATCAGGCCGAGGGACGAGCTGGCGCGGAGGTCGGGGATCCGGTGCGCCGAGCGGGGCGGCGGCGTCCTCGTCGGCGACGACCTGAGTACCAGTAGCCCCGGGGTGTACGCCATCGGGGAGTGTGCGAGCTGGAAGGACCAGACTTTCGGTCTCATCGCCCCCGGCGTCGAGATGGCCGACGTGCTCGCATTCAACCTGACCCAGGCCAAGCTGCACGCCCCCCGCATCTTCAAGCGGCCGGACCTGAGCACCAAGCTCAAGCTTCTCGGTGTCGATGTCGCCAGCTTCGGGGACTACTTTGCCGATCGAGACGGGCCCCAGCACCTGCCGCCCAAGTACAAGAAGACCCGGGCCGTCGTCGACGGTGACGTTTCAGAGCCACCTGTCAAGGCACTCACTTACAAAGACCCGTTCCAGAATGTGTATAAGAAGTACATATTCACCCCGGATGGCAGGTACCTCTTGGGGGGTATGATGATTGGCGACACGTCCGACTACGTCAAGCTGGTGCCCATGGTAAAGGGCATGAAGGAACTCGACATGCCGCCGGGCCAGCTCATCCTTGGTGCGAAGAGGAGCGACGACGGCAACGACGGCGATGACCTGGACGACGACGTGCAAATATGCTCCTGCCACAACGTGACGAAGGGCGACGTGGTTGGCAAGGTCAAGGACGGCACGTGCAGGGACGTGGGCTCCGTCAAGTCGTGCACCAAGGCCGGCACGGGCTGCGGCGGGTGCATGCCGCTGGTGACGGCCATCTTCAACAGGACGATGCTCTCCATGGGCAACGAGGTCAAGAACTACATCTGCGCTCACTTCAACTACTCCCGCGCAGACCTGTACAGCATCACCATGGTGAAGAGGCTGACGACGATGCGCGAGGTGATGCGCGAGGCCGGGAACGATGGGGAGAGCCCCGGCTGCGAGCTGTGCAAGCCAGCCGTGGCCAGCATGCTGGCGTCGCTGTGGAACCGCCACGTCATGGACGGGCCCGTCCACGGACTCCAAGACACAAACGACCGCTACCTGGGCAACATCCAGCGCAACGGCACCTACTCGGTCGTCCCGCGCGTCTCGGGCGGAGAGATCACGCCGGACAAGCTGATGGCCATCGGCGCCGTCGCCAAGAAGTACAACCTGTACACCAAGATCACGGGGGGTCAGCGCATCGACATGTTCGGCGCCAGGAAGCAGGACCTCCTCGACATATGGGGCCAGCTCGTAGCCGCCGGCATGGAGTCCGGCCACGCCTACGCCAAGTCGCTGAGGACCGTCAAAAGCTGCGTCGGCACCACGTGGTGTCGCTTCGGTATTGGAGACAGCGTAGGCATGGCGGTCCGCCTGGAGGAGCGGTACAAGAGTATCAGGGCTCCTCACAAGATCAAGGGCGGCGTGAGCGGGTGTGTGCGTGAGTGTGCCGAGGCCCAAAGTAAAGAGTATTGTGTCCCTGTTTACCCCATCCTCTTCCGCTTCCCCCCTCTTCTTCCGCCAAGTGCTGACTAGCCTGATCCTTGAAAGCTTCGGCCTCATCGCTACAGAAAAGGGCTTCAACATATTCGTAGCCGGAAACGGCGGTGCCAAGCCGCGACATGCCGAGCTGCTAGCCAAGGACGTGTCCCCGGTAGACGTCGTCCCCATCCTTGATCGGTACCTGATGTTCTACATCCGCACGGCGGATAAGCTCCAGCGCACAGCGCCCTGGCTGGAGAACCTTCCCGGCGGCATGTCGTACCTGCGCGAGGTGATACTGGACGACAAGCTGGGCATCTGCGCGTCGCTCGAGGCGCAGATGGCCGAGCTGGTCGACAGCTTCTTCGACGAGTGGGCCGAAGCCATCCGCACGCCCGCCATAGCCGCCAAGTTTAAGCAGTTCCAGAACACGGGCGACAGCCTGGACTCGGTGGAAACAGAGCAGGACAGGGGCCAGGACCGGCCGGTCCTCTGGGCCAAGGACGCCGCCGCAGAGGACTTCAAGTCGCTCAGCGGCCGCTGGTCCTCCGTCTCCTCCTGGCAGCCCGTCCTCGAGGCCTCCTACTTTGACGGGGCAGACGACCAGCCCAACGGCGTATCGGCCACCATCAAGCGCGGAGACACGCAGCTCGCCCTCTGGCGCTTCCGCGGCAGCTTCTACGCCACCCAGCAAATGTGCCCCCACAAGCGAGCCTTTGTCCTGTCCGAGGGTCTGCTGGGACAGGATCCCGCTGCCGCTACTACTACTGCTGCTGCTGCTGCCGATGCCACCGCAGAGCCTCGTAGCCCCTGGGTCTCGTGCCCCCACCACAAACGCAACTTTGACCTGTCCAGCGGCGCGTGCAAGTCCGACGATAGCCTCTCCATCGCCACCTTCCCCGTCGAGGTCAGGCCAGACGGGCTCGTCTACCTCAAGCTGCCGCCCGTCGAGGAGCTCGACGCCGCCCTGGGCACGGCCAGGTGGCGTGTCAAGAAGGGTGAGAGCGGCGACTCGCCGTTTGCCGAGCTGGACAGGAAGATCAAGTTCAAGGGCATAAGGGGGAGGAAGCCGTCCGCCAAGCCACATAGTGCGACGAGGATGGTGAAGCCTGTTGAGCTCATGGCAGGTGGGGGGGGGTGTGGGAGCGCACCGGATTGGTGATGTTTGCTCTCTTTTTTCTCTTGCTTTCTTTGAGCGTTCAGTAGAGTCAGTACATCTAATCGTGTAGATCAGTCACACAAGAATCCTTTGGAATTCGTATCGTTGGGGTGAGGCAACAGGGTGTATGTCGTTATATTTATATTTCTCCGGGCGTGGTTCTTTCCACTATGTGAATAATCTAAAATCCCGTTCTCTTGCTCTTCGGTCAAGGATCTTTTTTTTTGCGCCCAAGTAAACAAAAAAATAACAAGCCAAATTTTTTCCCTTCATTGAATATTATATATCAATATTAATACCCTAAACGCCATACGGATATCGCTTCCTAAGAAAGGTAAGAGAGGAAAATAACCAGAAAGAGCATTGCATACAATATCGGGCCATTGTTGCCATATTGTCGCAAGATTTTTTTTTTTGTATGAGTCGAGAGGTTGGTTGAGTTGTTGTCGTTCCGAGTAAAGGATGAGGAGAGAAACCGACAGGTAAATAATACTTTCGCAAAATGTCCCTTCAAGATAAATGCGGAGGAAAAAAAAAGAAATTCGAAAATTATACAAAATTTCTTGATTTAAACACACACAACGGGAAAAAAAAGAAGACAAGAAAGGTAGGAAAGGAGAGAGGTGTGGGGTGTGATTAAGTTAAGCCTCAACTTCTTCGTCAGACAGACTGCCGTAGCCGGTGTCGACCTCCATGCCGACGAGGCTCTTGGTGATGGAGAGACACCTGTCCACCACCTTGTGGCGGACGATGGCGCTGAGGCCGCAGTCGTCGCCGGCCGGGCCGCCGATCCACAGGCGGAGACCGCCGGCCAGCCTCTCGAGCGAGGCCGACGATGCTTCGGCGGCAGTCTTGTTCTGGTAGTACTGCTCGATGAGCTCCATGACGGCCGTGAAACCGACGACGGACATGTCCGACGAGTCGGCGGGGATGGTGACGGCCTCGATGGCCTGGAGGTACTGGGGGTTGGCCGTCGTGTTCTTGCTCTCGAACCGGCGCAGGTGGGCAATGGCCGTGGCGCAGCGGAGCGTCAGCTGCATGTCCGGGCTCGAGGCCGGGGCCATCGTGGCGGACAGGCTGCCGGACAGGTCCCCGACCGTCGAGGCCGAGGTGCGTAGCGGGGCGCCCATCTTGTCGGTGCCGACCGTCTGGAGGGCCAGAGCAATGTTGGAGCCACGGTGTTCGTCGGAGAGAGCGGCGCGGGCCACGATGGCGCGTGTCTGTGCCACGGAGCCAACCGGCGCCGTGTGGATGGCTAGGTCGACCTTGGCGTCCCGGGAGACGGGGCCGTCATCGTTCTTGTCCAGCGTCGACGTCAGCGCCTCGTGCAGGAGCTGGGTGGACCACCAGGCAGAGACGGCGTCCATGGGCGTGCCGATGGCCATGTCCTCGACGACCGAGTCCATGCCGTCGAGGGGCTTCTCGACGCCGTGTCGGGTGTCCCTGTTGAAGGCGAGGTTGTGGGCGCGCTGGATGAGGCGCGAGTTCAGGACGCTGTCGCAGTCCTGCTCGACGAGCTGGGCGAGGTGGTCAGGGAGCTCGTCCTCGTGCGACGTCGACGTCGTCCGGTGGTTCTCAATCAGGGCGCGGTTCAGCTGGCGAGCCTTCTCCCACCTTGACCGGGCGAGTCGCGCGGCCAGGCTGTGGGTGACACCGTTCCACTTGTGCTGTCCAAGGTCCCAGAGGAGGATACGGATGTGGAGCGACCTGAGCATGAGCCTGGCTGGTGTGGAGGGCAGCGCGGCGGATGCGAGGAAGGTCATGATGAGGCGGCTCTTGTTGATCTCGATGTCGCCGCCAGCAAGCTGCGAGTCAATAGCGATGGACCAGGCCTTGGCGCGAGCACCGTCCTGGTCAGCCGTCGCCCCACTGAGAAGCTGGTAGCCGTGGGCACCCACGAGCTTGAGGATGCTCACCTTGACAACCTTGAGCAGGAGGGCAGAGGCCTCTAGAAGGAAATTCTGACGGGGGATCCAGACCGATTGGGCAGCCGTCAGCCAGGCCTGTCGGCGGACCTGAATGGAGGACGCCAGCGAAGGGGCGGGCTGCAGCATAGACAGCTGCTGTGGCTTCTTGGGCGTCCTGCCGTACGAGGCAAACAGCGAGGGCACAAAGACCCACAGAAGTGTGCCGGCGAGAAGGAGAAGCTTCAGCGACGTATGGACGTGGTAGCCCATCAGGTTGAAATCGAGAGAGGTTGTGAGGCGACCCAGCAGGTGCAGGGGAAGTGCAAAGAGTCCCCGACCCTGCGGTTCCTCGTTACTCGTCTCCGTCTCCGACACGGCTTCGATGATCATCAGACCGGCCAGCGATCCGACCATCAGTTTACCGAGATAGGGAGAGGCGTTGCCCCAGCGGCCGAGCTGCTCCTGCTGCTGCTGCTGGATCTGCTGCTGCTGAACCATGCCTTGCTGGAGCTGCTGCTGAGGGATGGGGTAGGCCTGTCCGGCGGCCATCTGGGCGGCCAGGATACGCTTCATGTCATCGGGGACCTGGATCATGCCAGACGGCCCCGAGGAGCTGTCTTGCGAAGAGGCAGGTGATTTTGAATAATCCTGCTGCTGCCCTCGGCTGTCCTGGGCGGCGTATTGCATAGGCGTGGACGGGGGCTGCGTCTGACCGATGGAGCCATTCATAGCACCAGCCATGAAGAGCTTCTCGAACGCGGCTATCCTCGCACGCATGGTCTCATTCTCTTCCTGGAGTCTGTTGTAGCGCTTCTCGAGGTGGCAGATGTATTCGGTTGCTTTGCTTAGGACCTATTGGAGGATGAAGTGTTAGCATAAAGGTCATCTCGCCCCATCATGAAAACAAGGAAGAGACAGTCGAGCCAAGATAGCCAAAGAGGGGGGTGCTGATGCTTACTGTAGCCTTGTTAAGCTTGTGTGCCGGGGTGAGGCCATGCAGCTCCTGGCGATCCTCCGAGGTATCCTCGCCTCGTGCACTCTTAGACATGATACGTAGGCTGGGGACGGCATCGCGCAGGGCGGAGATCTTATCATTGAGGTTGTTGCGGTACCTCTTTTCAATCATGTTGTGGGACGTCTTCTTGACGGGCTTGCCGTCCTCGTCCTCCTCCTCGTCATCTTCCAATTCCTCGGAGGCCTTCCTCTTCTTCTGGTTCTTAGTCTTAGATCCTTGCTTGGATGTGAGGGAGTCTGGGCTTGAGGCACTCTTGGGCGAGTGGTACTGGAGATGAGGAGGCATGGCGATGTTGCGTAGCTGTTCCTCGGCGGCAGGCGTCAGGATGGTGGCAGCCATACGCTCGGGCTTGACGGGCGTAGGTTGTGTCTGCTGCTGCTGCTGCTGCTGTTGTTGCTGCTGCTGCTGCTGCGGCGGCTGCTGCTGCTGCTGGGGCAGTTGTTGCTGAGGCACGACAGGTGGTCCGAAGAGGAACATGGCATCATTGTTGGAGGATGCGCTGTCTTCGAAGCCTAGAGACGGGGACTGTTGCATGTCAAAGGGTGGCGAGTCCCATACGGAAGCTGGGTAGCTAGGGTCCATGCCACCGGATGCTGATGATGGGGCGCCAAAGGTGAAGGGCATGTCAGGGAACTCCCAGGCGGAAGAGTCGAACTGAGCATCGTCAGAGGTGTAGGAGTTGTCGGTGTTGATGTCGGTCGACGCAGAGCGATCGTCTAGAATGCCCTGGCTCGAGCCGTCGAACCCAAACAGATTGTTGGTAGCTTCGTCGTCTGTCATGGTGGGTGGGCTGTCAAATCCCAAGATGATGGACAGCTTAAGAAAGAGAGGATGGGTAGAAAGAGATGCAGACGACCTGCGGTCGATTGACAGAATAGCGCAGGTGGCGGCAATATCAATGTGGTTCGATGGTCAAATATGGAACGGAAAAGTAGGCGGAATGGGCCGATAACTATCAGGCGAGGCCCGCTTCGGCCTCTTTCGTGGGGAGTGTTTCGCGAGAAGCCGGGAGTGGTGGGCGGCAGCACCGGGAATGTGAATGAATTGGATGGAGGGGGGGGGGAGCAGTACGAGTAGAAAGGAGGGTTCAGGCTCAGTTTCAGGATGTCCAAGGGAAAAGGACGGCGTACATCCCGTTTTGCCTCGTCAGCTGGTCTGATTGAGGGGGGATTGGTCGAGAGTTGTCAAGGGGCCCGAAAATCTCCAAAAGTCTTCAAGTAGAGTTGAGAATGGGAGGGAAAAGGGTACAACGAAATGTGCCGCCGACGTTGTAGTTGTCTTTGAGGCTTCAAGACCAGAGAATCGTACGATTTCTACTAAACATCGACTCATTGGCTCGAATCAGCAGAGGCGCAGGACGTAACTTGCCGACGCCCGATACCGGTACGTACTTTTCGCTCTTTTAACTGAGAGATTCCCTCGTACTCGTATCTTGCCCTCTTTTTCCTCTAACATGCATGTATTCTCCGGCGTCATCTGACTTCGAAACTTTTACCCTGGAGGCATTTTTCGACGGACGACCGAAGAAGGAAGACAGTCCTGAAGCACGTACGACTGCGCCAAGTATATCACCCTCAGTTGACCCCGCAGAAACCTCACCACTTTGGTACCTTGGTACTTGCAAAACTCCACCACATCGAGATTCCATGCTCAGATACCATTCAATCCATACAGTTCGATTTGGCAGAGGAACAGAAGCTGAATGGCCAGGTTCAGACAGTCGGACACACAGTTCTTTGACCTCTGAGCGACTTCTCTCTCCAGACTTGGTGGGAAATAATTGCTTGTCCCTGCGCCAGCGACTTGCGGGTATATGTGTACGAGATATTTAGAGATGAAGCTACTATAGTCATAGGAAACATTATCGAGGATGAGAAGGCAGTGATGCCATCTGCTATCCAACATAGAAGACCAAAGAAAAGAAAAAGCGAGAAAAAAAAGAGGATGAAGGAATGACAAGAAATGATAGAAAAAGACGCAAGGGCCATTTCTTCTCTTCTCACCACATCTCGTCCGAGCTCTGTACCATCTCGACTGTTGGCGTCTTGGGCATCATCTTCTTCATGCGCTTCCTGTCCTGCTTTGTGACAAGGGACGGGGTGATGGGCATGACAGCTGTCATGGGTTGGTAGGGCGAGTAAGGAACGCTGGTTCCCGGGGTCCTGGCTGTGCCCAAGGGAGAGAGAGGTCCCTTGCGCTCAAAGACGGTCTGCTTGGTTGTCTGCTGCACAGCCGAGGGCGATGCCAGCGACGGCTCGTAGGCACGCAGAGGCAGGGAGCCGCCCGTGCGGACGGCCGAGGGGGCGTTCGACCTCGGGAAGGAGGCTCCCGGCTTGGGAGAGAGGGGCAGGGACGGGAACGTCGCTCCAGGCTTGGGCGACTGTGGCAGTCCCACCAGGGGAGACTGGGACGTCTCCGTCGTGGCCGAGTCCGGGTCACCCTCGGCGGGGTGTGAGGCGGCGGCCCTGGCCTGACGCATGTCGAGCTGAGAGCCAATACGCTCGTCGATGCTCATGAGGCTCTCGGGAGACTGGTCCGGCGTCGGCTGCATGGAGCCGCCGGCCCGGGGCTGCACAACGGCACCCATCGACAGCCGCCCGGGGGAGGCCGGGGGAGGCGGCGGCGGAGCCGGGGCGTAGTGCCTGGGGGGGATGGCTCCGGCACCGGACCAGTTCTCGGCATCGCGGTCCCGCGGGAACGTGCTCGACTGCGGCGTCATGATTGGCGATGAGATGTTGGCGCCCTTGACCGACTTCTTCATCGGCGACCGAAGGGCCGACAGGAACGACGCCGTCTTGGACCCCGAGGTCCTGTCACCCTTGGCACTTGAGAGGTTGAGGTTGGCCGGCTTGAACTTCTCCTTCTTGGGGGGCTTGGTCAGCCTGTCCGAGCTCGACTGGCGCGACGGGCCGGTCGCGTAGATGGGAGTATCGGGGTCGATACCCCTCTGCTTGGCCTCCTCGTGCTCCATGACATGCCTGTACATGTCCTCGAGCTGTTGCTGGGCCATGGCGTGGTCGGCTGCGACGACGTTCTGGTCAACGAGCGGGTTGATGCCGAGCGGGGCGACTGGCGAATAGGAAGACGGGTATACGTAGGGGACGTGATCGTGACCGGGCGCCGGTTCGTACTGCTGCGGCGGCAAGACCAGCTGCGACAAGTTTGGCCGGGAGTATGCCGGAGTGAGGGAAGGCGCTTGGTGATGTAGCTGATGCGACAGCTCCGGGCGCTCTAGCGGTGGTCGTATAGTCTCGAGCGGGTATCCGTGAATGACCTTGGGCTTGTAGAAATCGATGAAATCGACGTCGTCGTAGCCGGCTTCGATGTGTCGGCGACGCTTCTTGGAGAGCAGCAGAAGAGCTATGGCAACCAGCACCAGAGAGAGGGCGTAGGCTCCGACGATGCCTCCGATCTGCGCAGGCAGGTGGTCAGGATTGCGGAGGGCGTCGGCCGAGAGAGAAGGGCCGTCTTCGGGCGACGGTGTATCGACGCCGAGGGGATCAAACTCTCTTCTGGAGACGGGGTGGGATTCACGAGATGGCTGAGGAATGGAAACAGCGGCAGGAAGTGTTGCGAGAAGGACGGTACAGGTTAGGAAATGAGAGACAGAGGTCACCCTGAGCATGGTGGTCGGAGGAGAATATGAAGGAAAACACGATGCCAGTGTTCCTTTAAGACGTGGTAGCTGAGACGGGGGAAGCGCTCAACGGCGACGTGACGAGACCTCCTGACGGGCACCAACGAAACATGGTCTGGCAGAGATGAGTTACATTCACAGTCAGAGAACGGGTCGAGCGGCATCCGTGACGGGAGGGGCGACATGCACTGGTATATTATACGTCGGCACCCGGGCGCTTGATGATGTCGAACAGCAGCAGGAGGGCACCGCATTGACCGTATTAGCGTAATCATCCGGGAGCGAATCAGTATGGCCAGGAACCAGACCACGGGCCGGCATAGAGCTTGGGGAGTCCGTAACTGGACTCTCCGCGGGCGGGACTTGCATCGACGAACATGGGAGGTCTCCATGATACGCACGAGGGCTTTGCAGGCTTTTGCAGATGTAGCATCATGGTTGGACAAGCTTTGGTGATGACAGGGATGAGTTAAGCGCCGACGTTTATGGGCATCGTTTCTCATTGGCCAACCATCGGGACCCATAGTAAGTCATCACAGACCCTCGAACCTGTTTGCCCACCGCCTGGTCTTTTTGTCTCTCGATATCTCGAGTTTCTTTTTTCTTTTTTCTTTTTCAAATTTCGTGCCTCTTGGTCCCCCTCCCATTGTCATCTGAGTCCTTTCCCACCTTCTTTGGCCTCCGCTTCGGCCGCTCCATCGGTCTGTCCCTACCAGCCTCTAATTTCTCTACCCCCGCCTCCATGGTTCTGCTCTGCTGTTGTCCTGCTGGTATCGTACAGCGTACATGCATACCTGCATCCAGGTTGCTTGCCACCACCTCCTTGGTATTACCACATGTCGCCGGCATGCCATGGCATATCACAACTAGTAATTCCCTTTCCGGGGGGTTTTCTTCTTGTTCAGATGTCTGATTTGACCTTTTTAACACCTTGCTCTTACGACAAACTTGCGTCTTGTTGATCGAATTCGTACCGTCTGCTCTTGGATGACGCCCGGGTAATGGTATTGATACACATCTACCACCTGCGCTATACTCCGTCCTGCATCCTCTTAAACGTACGCGTACGTGCTAGTGTTAAAACAAGTATGATTGAAACCACGAGTATTGAACCCGCCCATCCTGTTGCCAGTTACGCCATGGCGAGTCAGCTGCGGATGGTAATTTTTATAACCAATGCCTTGCGCGTGATTATGCTTAGCGTGTCTACAACTTGACAAACTCGCATTGGAAGTGTGATTGCCTGTGATATCAACAAGCCGGATGCCCAATGGGCGCTTTCTGGGCACGTAGAGTAATCGATAATCTCATTCTTGGCTCATCACATCGCGGAATAATAGTCCTCCGTAATATTACTAGTATCGATGTGCTACGCCACGCATGAGTTCACGAATCATCCCACCAAGTTCCACAGCCGCACCTCTTTATATTTGCCATCATGTAGCTCCTCTTTTCTTTTCTTTTTTTGGGCCTGTTAACGGACAGAGTATCAATGTGCAGGGCCATATGCGGACTCCTGCCTACCGAGCGTTGCTTTTCGAGACTGGACCTTGAGTTAGTCATCTATAATCACGTGATAACGTGCCATAGACACTCACGTCTGGTCTGACTACGCATCGCGTTGTCGCGGTGGACGTACGCTACACGAGGAGGAGTGAGAGAGCATCACGCTCGTCCGGAAGAGTGCCTGTGCGTTTCTCAGGGCTACCATAAACTCTGTAGCCAAGATCCCGTATGAATGGAAGCCCAGCGCCCGACCGAGAAGCACGAACGCGCCAGCCCCGGCGCGTCGACACAATGTTAACCTCCAACTCAGGGGGATCCATCCTGAGCACCCTCAACGATGCCCAGCGTCGAGCAGTAACGTCCAAGTCACCCACGGTTGCCATATTGGCAGGTCCGGGCAGCGGTAAGACGCACACCCTCACCTCACGCGTGGTATGGCTCATCCAACATGGCGGCTATCAGCCCTGTGACGTGATCGTGGCTACCTTCACCGTCAAGGCGGCTCGCGAGATGAGAGAGAGGATCGGTAAACTCCTCGGACCAGAGGTGGAGAAGAAGATTATCCTGGGGACTTTCCACTCCATCTCACGGCGGTACTTGGCCAGCTACGGCAAGCACATCGGCCTCGATTCCAAGTTCACCATTGCCGACGACGGCGACTCCAGGGCCATCATAAAGAGGATCTGTGAGAGGCACAAGCTTGGCGTCGAACCGTCGTATGCAAGATCCTGGATCAGCAGGAAGAAGGCAAAGGGCGCGACAGCTGCGTCCGAAAATGGACGGAAAAAGAACGACCACCCGGATCTCGATATGTGCTTCGGAGAATACCAGGAGCACCTTCAGCGGGCAAACCTTCTCGACTACGACGACCTACTTGTTCGCTGCGTGGAGCTTCTGCAAAAGTACCCCAGATGTGTCGCCAATGTCCAGACTGTCCTCATTGACGAGTACCAAGACACCAACGGCATTCAATACCAGCTCATGAAGCTGTTCGCGCAGGCGCGCGAGCGTATCACAATTGTCGGAGACCCCGATCAGAGCATCTACGGCTGGCGATCCGCCGAGGTGCGTAACTTGTACCGCATGCTCCGCGACTACCCAGGCACCGATGAGATCTCCCTCGAGGAGAATTACCGCTCATCGCAATCCATTCTGAACGTCTCCCTGAGGGTCATTCAGGAGGACAAGAAACGATACCAAAAAGTTCTGCTACCGGTCCATGCCAAGGGCGAGCGACCAGTTCTGCGGAAGCTTTCGACTGCGGCCAAGGAAGGGGAATGGGTTGTCTCCGAGATAAGGCGCGTGATCATGATGTTTGGGGGGATGGTGAAGCATCAAGATGTGGCCATTCTTCTCCGCTCTGCGGCCCTCTCACGACACGTCGAGTCGGCCCTGGGCAAGGCAGGCATCCCATATCGCATGATTGGCGGCCACAAATTCTACGAGCGGAAAGAGATCAAGATCCTGGTTGACTACCTGCGCGTCGTTCAGCAGCCCAACAACAACGATGCGGTCGCGCGCATCATCAATACCCCGCGACGTGGTATCGGTGAGGCGACCATCAAGTCCCTCCTAGAAGAGGCAGAGCAAGCCAAGATTCCCGTCTGGGCCGTCATCTGCAAACACTGCCGGGGCGAGCGCCGAGCACGGACGAATATCAGGGCCAGGATGGAGCAGAAGCTCAGCGCCGAGCTGATTCAACTGGTTACGAATCTGCGTCGGCGAGCCGACTCCATCGCACGGTCTAGCTCCTTCACGTTGGTAGACCTGGTCGAGCAGCTCACCACGCAGCTCAATTTCAAAAAGTACCTCGAGGAAGAGTACCCAGTTGACCATGCGATCCGCTGGGCCAATGTTCAGGAGTTTGTCCATCTCGTGGGCGATTTCATACGTGACCAGTCGCGTCTGGAGGAGGACGCACTACCCGAAGTTGGCGACCTAGAACAGTCGCGCGAGGACAGCATACTGGCCAGGTTCCTGGCAAACATCACCCTCGCAACAGATGCCCAGAGAGATGATGGGGAGCAGGACAAGGAATCACTAGTCACAATATCGACCATCCACGCCGCCAAGGGCCTCGAGTGGCCCGTCGTCTTTGTGCCAGCAGTCTACAATGGCTCCATTCCGCATAGCCGCTCTGACGATGATGATGAGGAGAGGAGGCTCCTGTATGTTGCCATGACGCGGGCGCAAGCTCTCCTCTACCTGTCCTGCCCCCTCTACGGATCTCAGGGGCTGAGCAGTAAGGTGGAGCTGTCGAACTTTGTGGAGCCGTTTGCCGAGTCGTCGTTTGCGCAGAAGGGTCCATCCCTCGACCGGCCGATGATCGAGACGACGGCGAAGATCCTCGGGCGAGACGCCCCCACGTCGAAGTTGATATTTGACAAGATGCCGCCCATGTTCTCTCCGGAAGATGACCTGTTCCCCATCGAGCCGCTCGACCCCAAGAATCACGACAACGTCGACACGCCCGCGGGCGACCACTGCCCACGTGCTTCGAAAAGACAACGGACAAATCCCAGCAAGTTCTCCTCAGCGGAGGGATTTGACGAGCATCCCTGGAAAAGAGAATATTCAACCACGATGGAGGGGTCGTCAGGCTTTACCATGTCGACGGTCATGCCGGGATTCGTCTCGGCTGGACAGCATCGATATACACTTGCAGCTGCGGACGCTGAAGAAGGGCCGGCGACAAGCAAGGCGGCAGCACCGAAAAAGGGCAGCGCCCGTCGGCCACCAGGCCAGAGGAGCCTACTGTCGTTTGTCAGCCCAGGCGCCGAGGGCCGGCAAGACGAGCCGCCGCGGCAAGACGATCGACGCGCTATGTCGTCGTACAACCGGTACCAAGTCGCCGCGTCACGGTCGGCAGCGCGCGTATCGGCGGCAGCAGCAGCATCAGCAGCAGCAGCCGCAAAAGGCAGCAGCGGTAGCAGCGGCAACGGCGGTATCGAGCCCTCGCTGGCTCAGCACAAGTTACCGACTGGGAAGACCCTGGCACGGCCGCCGGTGCCGAGACCAGCCGACGACGGCCCCCGAAATCAGTACTCTTGCTTCTCGAGCTCGCCGCCACGACGAACATCACCGGAGCCGGAAACGGATGATGCCACCACTACCGCAGATCGCCCGGCCATCAGCTTCCATACGACCACCTTCACATCCGTGGGGCCCCCTCAAACAGGAGGCATCCGGAGGCCGGTAGGCATGGGACCGCGGCCGACCATGAACCGTCTACAGAAGCCATTCAGGCCACTGACAATCAGCCGACCACGCGCGCCGGGAACATGAAGGAACGCGCTGTATCTGGGGGGAGGGGGGGGAAGGTCAGGGGTATCCACAAGGTCGACTCTCTCCATGGTAGCAATGGAAAAATGATGAAATGCAACGGCAGTGCAGACATGTGTATCTCGTGCGTGACGATCATCACCGGATCGAGTGGCGGCGATGGACGATGGTAGGGTGTGGCCGCTTCACGCGGCCCGGCGGGTTGCATGCACCCACTACTCCATAAGTATGTGATACATAACTATGTAATACTCGACTTAGGCTGAACCTGGCCGGGGTAGATGGCCCCCGTCGAGGCATGATGTCATCGTCCTTTGGGTGGGACCATAACGGAATGATGCTTGCCGGAGGGAAAGGGTTGTCTGTCTCTGGCCGAGATGTCTGTCTGAGATTTGTGTAAGTGCTTTTTTCCCCTTTTCTCTCGAAGCTTCTCCCGATGCATGTGCATATATATATATATATATATGTGTGTGTGTGTGTGTGTGTGTGTGTGTATGTATGTATATCAATAGTTCCATAACGCGGGGCGGCGACCGCGGTTCGAAGCTATCAACAACTGATACAAGTACGAGTAATACTCCATACGTCGATATCTTCCGTGTCTTTTTTCTTTTTTCGAGAAAAGGAAGACTATCGAAATCAACCCCGCTATGGCGCGCGAGACTCGGAAGAAGGCAGCACAAAAAAGGAACAAGCTACAGCATTGATGCCATTGTTTATTTCGTATAATGATATCATGATACGACCCAATCAAACCCGACCCCGCCCGCTTCTACCTAAGGAATCCTACGTACTATTATTATACCCAGAGATGCTACACTAGATATCAGTTGCTATCAAGGGAGGAGGGGGGTTCTTTTCTATATCGGAGGGCTAGCTGTGTCCGTATCTCAGATCGTAATCGGCCCTGGTCCGTACCAGATGCCAATTTGGGTTGCCCACGATTGATACGTATGCCACCAGCTCATACGCATTGCTGTATTATCGACGAAGCCATGATATCACCGGGCATCCCCTTCCCTTCTGGGAGTATCACCGTCTTCTTCATGCAGCCCGTTTTCCTGATTTATAATTTTTCTGCAGAGGAGCGCACATGTATGTACGCAATCGGGACTATTGATCTGCCCCCCCCCCCCCCCCCCCCCGGGGTAACGTCCAAGTACTATTTCCTCCGTAACATGGGTCACAAGGACTCAAGACATACAGTGATAAGGTGTCTTCTACGGAGAAGACACGCCCATGGTTCAAGCACACTCTGCATTCTTGTGATATGATCCGACAGGAGGCGCGCCCCTCCCTTCTCCTCGTCCTCATCCTCGTCCTCCTCGTCCCCATCCTCCTGCTGCTGCTGATCGCACGGCCTTTCTACTCTGTCTCATCGTTACTAGCCAAATGAACCAAGTGAAACTTTTTTGTTTTAAAGAATAAAATCGAAGGAATTAGAATCAAGCAAAAGGAAAGAAAGAGAAGGCAAGAAGAGGACCATGGCGGAAACCTCTAGATCAGGTGGCGTTGCCGCCTCGATTGTTTCCCTGCTGCTCCTGCTCCTCCTGGACTTGATACCCGTCTCGTCTGCCACCGGCGACAAGTACCTCTTGGGAGTGGGCAAGGCTGACATCACGGGTCCCGTGGTCGAGATCGGCTTCGCCGGGTACGCTGACCTGGCGCAGAAGGGAAACGGTCTGCGCCAACGTCTGTACAGCCGCGCATTCATCGTGGCCGACGTCAGCAAGCCGGACGACCGCTTCATATACTTGGTGCTGGATACGCAGGCCGGCGACACGGCCATGCGCTACGGCATCCTCGACGCTCTCGAGGCCCTCGGGGGCGAGTACGGGGTGTATAACGCCAACAATGTCGTCGTGTCGGGCACCCATAGCCATTCCGGCCCGGGAGCGTGGTTCAACTACCTGCTTCCGCAGATCACGACGTTCGGCTTCGACAGGCAGAGCTACCAGGCCATCGTGGACGGAGCGATTCTCTCGATCAAGCGAGCACACGAGAGCATGGAAGAGGTAGACACTGCCAGACCGACTTCACCTGACGAGAGCATGATCACATTGCTGACCTCTCTCTCTCTCTCTCGTACCAGGGCTACCTCGACGTCGCAACGTCCGAGGTCGAGGACGGCGCGGTCAACCGTTCCCTATACGCCTACCTGAACAACCCGGAGGAGGAGCGCGGCAGGTACGACTCGCCCGTCGACACGACGCTGACGCTCCTGCGCTTCCAACGTGCCTCGGACGGCAAGGACATGGGCGTGCTCACCTGGCACGCCGTGCACGCCACGTCCATGCTGGGCAACAACACGCACGCCTCGGGCGACAACAAGGGGCTGGCGTCGTGGATGGTCGAGAGGGACGTGGGCGCCACGGACCAGGCGGCCGACGGGTTCGTCGCCGCCTTCAGCCAGGCCAACCACGCCGACACCAGTCCCAACGTGCTGGGTGCGTGGTGCGACGACGGCTCTGGCGAGATGTGCGACTTCCAGAAGGCCACCTGCTCTGACGGGACGGTGACCGACTGCCACGGACGCGGGCCCGAGTTTCAGGCTCTCGACCTGGGCGTGTCTAGCTGTCATGAAATGGCGACGAGGTTCGCATCGGCGGCCAAAGAGGCATATGTGAGAGTCTTTTACAGTTTACGCAGAAAATCAACCCCGCCCCCCCCCCCCTGCCTTGATCCCCTCTTCTCTTACCTCTTCTGCCGTGTGAGTGTGTGAGTGTTGTGCGAGCTGCTAAAGCCAGACACCCTCCAGTACTCGCTCTCATCGTCTTCGACGTCCATCTCGGGACCGACGGTCAAGTCGTTCCACTTCTTCCACGACATGCGGTTCTGGAACTTCACGCTCCCCAACGGCACCGCGGCGACGACGTGCCCGGCGGCGCTGGGGTACTCGTTCGCGGCGGGTACGTCGGACTGGCCGGGCCTGTTCGACTTCACGCAGGGTGATTCGGGGCAGCCGGACGCTAACCCGCTTTGGGAGCTGGTCAAGGGGCTGCTGCGGGAACCGTCGGCGGCGCAGAAGGCGTGCCACGGGGCGAAGCCGATCCTCCTGGACGTGGGGGAGATGTCGGAACCGTACCCGTGGGCGCCCAACATCGTGGACATACAGGTGGTGCGGGTCGGGCAGCTGCTGATCGTGGCGAGCCCGTCCGAGGTGGATACGATGGCGGGGCGCCGGTGGAGGGAGGCCATAGCGGACGAGGCGTCGTCGACGTTCCTGGCGGGGGACGACGACGACGAGCCCATCGTCCTGCTGACCAGCCCGGCCAACACGTACGCGCACTACCTCACCACGCCGGAGGAGTACGACGTGCAGCGGTACGAGGGCGCCTCCAACCTGTTCGGCCGCCACTCGCTCGACGCCTACATCAACCTCACGGTCGGCAGCCTGAGCGAGTACCTCGCACCCGGGGCCACCGGCCTGCCGGACCCGGGCCCCCCCGCACCGGACAACCGCGACGTCGCCATCTCGCTCAGCCCCGGGGTCGTCGTGGACGCGTCGCCGCTGGGGAAGAGCTTCGGTCAGGTCCTCTCGCAGCCGAACTCGTCGTACGTGCTCGGCGACGTCGTCAAGGTCACCTTCCAGGGGGCCAACCCGAGGAACAACCTGCGGCTGGAGGAGACGTTTGCGGCCGTGGAGAAGAAGGATGACGGTGCGGGATGGTCCACGGCCGCGGACGACTCGGACTGGTTCCTCGTGTATACCTGGCGTCGCACGAATAGTGTATTGGGGTACAGCGAGGTCGACGTTACGTGGGAGACGGCGGGGGATGCCGAAGCGGGGACGTATAGGGTCAGGTATTTTGGTGACGCAAAGAGTTTGGTCGGGTCGATTACTGCGTTTGACGGAACGACGGACGAATTTACTCTGAGCTGATTCTTCTCTTTTTATTCCTGCTCTCTCTTTTTTCTTTTTTTTTCCTTCTCCGTCCGTTTTTCTTCTCTTCTTTTTTTTCCCTCATTTGCCTTTTTCTTTCATCATCTTCTTCTCCTTCTTCTCCTTCTTTTTTTTTTTCTGAAGAGAATCTATGAGTTTTATGCAACGCCAATTCTGCTACGGTAATATATTACTGCTCTGACTCCAAGTGTGTGAAAGTGATTTGCAGTGCGACAAGGGTCCTGATCTGCGTCTGGGTGGATCATGTCTCAGATCCTTTTGGAGGGGTTTTTTTTCTTCTTCTTGCACCTGTCACTGGTCAAGATTACATGCAGATAAGAGACTCATAGAGAGAGTGTTGGGTGCAGGATGAGTTACGGTGTGAATCGGTGAGAGAGCCGTTTGGGGGGAGGGGGGGGGGGGGGGGGGGAGAGTTGGAGGGAATGAGTCGGCGTCGGAAAGAGAGGATCCGAATGGTTGAATAGAAAGGGACTGCGGGAATGGGAAACAGATGAAGAAAGGAATAGCAAGGCTATGCTGTACGCGATGAGCTGTTGTGGCTGTTGCTGTCCGTCCTACACCGTACACGCCCAGTCAGGTATTGATATCCATATCACATCCCAGTCAGTATCACGCCCCCCTCCTCCCGCGGGACGTGGACAATGGGCCGTGCGGAGCCACACCAACTGAACATGTTGCGACCCAGCGCAGATGTAGAACCACGTACAAGGTCGTGGTAGCAACGGGGACGGGGCAAGGACTCTCTTACCTGTGCCATTCATTGCTTTCATTGCATTGCGTGACAGCAGTACTATCATATCATCAATTACATCATCATTCATATGCAGCTCCGTACAATTACGTGACTCGTTCCGTCCGAGGACTGCGGCTGCCCAAGGCTTCGGGTTCCGGGGCATACTATATGGATGACACTCCCGATACGTTGGCTCCATCTGATTCCACACACATGTGTTTCTCTTCTCTTCTCTTCTCTTCTTCTTTTTTCTTTTCTTTCTATCGGTTTTATCTGGTCTATTTAGCCTTTGGGAGGGGTTGGGGTTGGGGTTGTCAGACGTGATTTTCTCTTCATGTCTCCCGTACTTTGTCCCATCGGTTGCCAACACGTCAACTCTCTCTCTCTCTCTCTCTCTCTCTATCCACCTTATCCCCCCAAAGCTGCTATCCTCCATCCGGAAACGATCAGTTGATTAATCGCTTTCAATGTGTGTGTGTGTGTGTGTATGCAGTGTAGTGTAGATCGGGACAGCCACAACCAAGAAAGAGAAAAAGAAAGAAAGAGGGGGAAAAAAAGATGGCAACCCCTGATCATCAAGGTCGGAATATGCACATGATCTGTTTCTTTTGAGTTCTCGGTAAGCCACCCAGATCTGGTTGTCGTGGCTCCAGAGGCTTGGATGAAGTCTGGCCCGAGAGTTCAGTATTGCATTGGTACTGGTGATACGTCAATTTTACTCGTGCCTCTGTCGGAGCCAGATTATGTGATGATGAATTGAATGACGCCGCCTTTGTGAACATGAAGAAGCAGAAAATACGGAGTACACGGATAATCGTACTGGTAGTATCCTTACTCCGTACCTCGGGGTCCTCTAGGTATGCTGAGTGACGTTGTACAAGACACGCATGAGAAACAGTTGCTCCTGTCGTATATGCAAGTGTAGTCTCGAGTTGCAGATTGTCTAGGTCTGGAGACGAGAACTCTCTCTCTCTCTCTCCCTCTCCCTCTCTCTCTCTCTCTCTCCCTCTCTCTCTCTCCCTCTCCCTCTCTCTCTCTCCCTCTCTCTCTCTCCCTACGAGGAAAGCAGAAGAAAAGAGGAGAGGAGAGAAGAGAGGAAGAGAAAACATGAGAGGATAGCTGTTGCCATCCATGATCGTGGACGAGATACCTAGATGAATATCATCCATCTAGGTGGTCTGGGTTTCCCTCTCTATCTGTTCAGATGTACATGGGAACGGCTGGGATAGCACTGACGAGGTTCTTCCATGCATGCACCATGAATTTGCAACTCGTTGGTAGCCGAGGATCTTCTCATGGCTTTTCCTTTCTGATGAATTTCTTAAACCTACCAAGATGTATCTGTTACTTGGGCCATCATATCTTCACGCCTTGCCACCTCTACTTTAACCCTCCATACAAGCCCTCATCTCCCCTACATTGCTATACCTCAGGGGGAGAAAAGACCAGAAATGAAAATATGTATATATATATATATATATATATATATAAAACCCTACTCGGCTTTAGTACTCGACATTTGTTGACTTTTGTGTGCACATCTTTTGCTGTGAATCTCCGAGAGAGAGAGAGAGCCTAATACTAATGGCTAACAATCATGGATAGTCTGTACTTTGGGTCCAGTCGGTCAGACATGGCCATGGCTACACACACACGTACATACATACATATATACATACATACATACGTATATACATATATAGATACACCCGATGAGGGAGGGGAGACCATGCAGATTAGGAGGAATGGGGGGGGGGGGGAGCTGCAAGACACGCAGTAGGGGGACGCCGGAACCACAGGACCGGACGAGCCCAACGGACAAAACATGATTCTTCAATTCCAAGGGGTATTGCTCGTCTTACTGGATGGAAAACACATTTCGTATCGTATATAGACGCTTACAACCACACACATACACACCACACACACGAGTGTTGAAATGTTGCGCGCGTGCATTTTGACGTAGCTCGTACATTACTAAAGAGGCAGGGCAACCGATTATATACGTGTGATGTTGGTCGGGATGATTCACAACCTGCCACATCACATTAGGCCCGACTCGCGACTCTCTTCTTTCTAAACCACCACCCACCCCCCCTCCTCCTCTCCCCTCCGGGCCAATTGATATATTATCCATGTATTTCATCGACGCATCATCGGTTAGATACATATGTATGATTACGACTGTCAGAACAAGTCGCTCCAGTGGCCGGTATTATTACAGCACATGGTGAATGTTGTGTGGCCCGATACCCCCCCCTTCCTCTTCCCCTTGTCGGGTGCCTGTTTTTCGTCGTCTTTTTGGTAATGATACGTAGTTGATTCAACTTACGTGTAATCTAATGAATGTCCTTATTGTCTGGCACCACTCATCCTCAACCACAACATTCTTTCTTTTTTTTTTCTTTCCTTTTCGTCAGTGGCTTCATGAATGCAATCTGCTTCGCCTCATTCAAGGCTTTTCTCTCCTTCAAGATACAGGAATAGCAACGACAACTTGCGTTTTTGTGATATTAATATATGTAACGCAATGTACATGTGGTCAAGACATCCTCCGCCTCTCTTTTGCCAACTCTCTCTTTTTTTTTCAATTTCAAAGAAAAAAAATTAAAATTCGATATCTCCTGCTGACATCCATACACTGAACAAGGCTGGATATACGCAAGACCGTACGCAGCAATACCGGGAGAGACCAACAGGTATAAAAGAGATCGTGACCGCCACCTCTCTCTTCCGTATCCAGCCATCATCACCTCTCAGCCTACTCCCCCACGCTTTCAAACGGTCCCACAGACAAGTACATGCATCCCCGGTCGTCTCCGGAGCCGTCTCCTTGACTCGTCCCATTTTTTTCAGCTTCATTCGAGGCCTTGTCCTCTCTCTGCTTTTCTCCCTCCCATTCTCTTTGCTTTCTTCTCCGAGGGAAGGAAGGGCGGCCACCCGAAGAAAAAGCTCTTATCCCCCCCAAGTCGCTGCAAGACTATCATACCCGAGCACAGGTCCGCCTCATACTCCTGTGTCCTTTCCGCTCTCATACCGCTTCTTCCTGTTTCCCCGAGACAGAACAGCAGCAAACTTCCCCCTCTCTGCCCATCATGACCACTGTCGTTTCTCGGACTTCCGCTGTCCATGTCCCTAGCACATCGTGGCAGGATCGCCTTCAAGGTAAGTCCTGCTCCCCCCCCCCCCCCCCTCCCTCCCCAAATTCATAGGTTTCCGAACTCTTGGGCACGAACACTTTTTCTGATATTAGGCATTATGCAGACTACTGCCGCATGGCTGAACTGCAGCCTCCCGTCTTCCAAATGTACTCTGATCGTCGAGGTAAGTCAGCAATCTCTTTCCTGTCGGATAGGCGGTTCGGGGTATTGCCGCTCTCATACGGAGAGCTGACTCTGAAACTAGGAGGGCGCACGGCCTGGTCCAGCAGAGTCACCGTTGATGGACATTCCCTCTCGGCCAGGTACTGGTACGACGGCAAATACATCAACAACGCCAAGGAGGATGTCGCCGAGGTGGCCTACTGCTGGCTCGTCGGAGCCTAGAGAACCAGGGGGCGGGTGTGGGGGGGCCAGAGACGGAAGCAGAGAAGAAGAAGAGTGCTGGGCACCGCTTCTTTTCCGTCCGACGTTTTGTCTGCTCTCCTCGGCGTTTCCTCCTCGTGTATCCTTCTTCCCGAACCTCTCAATCTGGTCTTCTCGTCTCTTTATTTCTCTCGTCACGACATTTTATATAGGTATTCTATAGGACTATAAGCACCGAACCATGGCGTTTCTCATGTTTTATCTTTTATTTTATCTTTATTTTCTACTTATTTTTTTTTTAATCAATCTTCCTTGTCCCCCCCTTCCTGGGTGGGTTTTTACTGCTACTGCTGCTGCTGCTGCTGTCTTTCTCGTTTTGGGATCAGAGGTGCTGCCTGGCAACAAGAGACAGCATGGCTCTTACGCATGTATCCATTCTACTCTTCTTTCTTCATCCTCCCTGACCTCTCTCGATGTACATGTGTGTACCAGTACACATATCTGTAAGAGGAAGAGACAACGTACACGACCTTGACCCTGTCACTTCTCACATCTTCAAGTGGCGTAGATCGATCGACTATATACACATGCTAAGCAACCCCCGCGCCCCTGTTTCTGTCATTGCGTCTTTTTTTACTTCGACGTATTATCGAGAACATGGCCTTCTTGGGCCCGTACATCTGCCGTCCTGCTCCTTCAAGGTCGGATCCAACCAGGATCCCAGGCCTTCGTTTCTTTTCTCTGCTTACTTTTTCAGATGGCCCACTTACACGGGTTTACGGAGCAGACAGCTCAGCAACGTGCACCCCTGCTTCTACCTCATCTTATACCAACCTAGATGCACCGGAGGATGAGGGTGAGGGGTGGGAAGGGAACTTGGAATTCGAATGAGTGGGAACCGGAGTAATCACCGCATGCTCCCCTCACATCCACGGTGGCGCTCATATATCCGGCGTGAACCCGGGAACAAGGAAGAATGTCGTGATGTATATCTTATATCTCCTTGCTTTTTCCAGCGAATTCATCTTGGGATATGAGTATCCACACCTTCTGCATCAGCAGAGAGGGGGTTCTGGGTTTGGGACATGGCCCGCTGACCGAATACTCAGAAGTGCCCACTGCCATCGAGCAGATGAGGAGGATGTTGTTACCCTGGCTCCTGCAGATTATCACGTCTCGTCGCCGAAAATCGATGGGTACAGAGCGGGTGCTTGTAGAGGCGCGAATAGAAATCAACACGTCAACATGGATCTTGTCACATGAACTCAACAGGGAACTCTTTACACGGAAGAGAAGGGGAAGAGATACTGTTTTTAACTGTGAGGAGACAGAATAGAGGGAAAGGGTCATGTAGATAGATGGCAGATATTGATCGACCCGAGGGTTGTCACGTGATCTGTCACCTAAGCCAATTACTTACATAATCCCCTTCCCCCCCCCCCCGAAAAAATAGCCTGGATGCATTGTCCAGTCGGATCAGTGAGAGAGCAGCCTTCCACAGTAGGGGGAAATTTCTCGTCGCGAGAGCTCGAAAGTCTTGGGACCTCAAGCCGCGTCGTCGACCACCCACGTCGGGGAAAAATCAGAAGCCAGCAGTATCTCCTCTCTCTCTCTCTCTCTTCTTGCCTTCCCAGGAGAACGAACGCAGAGGAGGCTCACCTTTTCGAAAAGGGAAAGCTATACCATGTCTCCGACTTGGAGGGTCTGGGGCGCATGCCGGACGCTCGCCGCGCGGTCGAGGCCCGCAGCAGCTGTCAAGGCCGAGGTGCCTCTCTTCTCCTCGCTACCCGGCCGACGATGGGCCTCTTCCGGCAAGGTCGACAGCAGCAACGGAGACAAGAACGACCAGGAGACGATCCCGTCATCAGCCGCCATCGATGCCCTGGGCGACGATGCCCTGCAACAGATCTTCTACGGAGGCAAGGTCGAGCCCCGCGAGGGAGACCAGGCCCTGACCCCGGCCCAGGAGGACATCCTGTACCGCTCGGGAAGGATACCCTCATCGGACGAGGCCGAGTCGCAGCTCGTGCCGCAGGAGCCTAGAACACCTGCCACGCCGGTGGGCGGACAGCAGCTCGGCTACAAGTTTGCCCTGCCGCAGAGGCCGTATCCTGCCGACTTCAACCACAAGAAGAGGTATCACCCCGTCGTGGACCTGTTTGCACGGATGATTATGCGTGATGGAAAGCTCAGTGCGGCTCACAGTGTATGTCATCTCCTTACTCCCCTTCCTTTCCCTTTTCTTCTCTTCTCTTCTCTCTCTCCTACCAAAATAAGAAAAAAACCCTTCGGAGGTGGGAGCTGAGCTGAGGAGGACGAAGGAGAATGAAGAAGGAGAAGACAAAAAAAGATTGAGAGAGGAAAGGGGACAGAAGCTGACATCATCTCATATCTCCAGCACATGGCCAACATGATGAACATCCTCCGAACCTCGCCGGCACCCATCTACAGCCCCAAGTTCCCCCTGCTCCCTGGAACTCCTCCCGCTTCGCATCTCCCGCTCAACCCCGTCCTCTACCTGACCATTGCCGTCGACTCGGTCGCCCCCCTGCTCAAGGTGAAGCACGTCCCCGGCGGGGCCGGTGGTGGCCGCGCCCTCGAAGTGCCCGTGCCGCTGCCGCTGCGGACGCGCCGCCGCCACGCCTTCCAATGGATCCTCGACGCGGTAGAGAAGAAGCCGTCCAAGGGCAGTGGTCGCAAGCAGTTCGGCCAGCGCCTCGCCGAGGAGATCATCGCCGTCGTCGAGGGCAGGTCGGCAGTCTGGGAGAAGAGGAAGATGGTGCACAAGCTCGGAACGACGGCCCGTGTCAATGTCGGCGCCGAGAAGAAGTCAAAGCGATAGAGGGAGACTATCCCCTCACATAAATATGGGCCTGGATCGGGGACACCAGAAGAAGAAGAAGAAGAAGAAGAAGAAGAAGAAGGAAGAGGAGGCGGAGTATACTGTATCATCATCCTCAAGTATCCATGCATCTCCTTCAGAGGGGATTCTGTAACTGTACATCATGCGTTTTCATCCCGTCATACGAGTCTGAGCACGAGTGTCAAATGTACCACCAGTGTATCAACCATAGAGGCAAGCAGCTTCAACATTCCAGACCACGACTATGGGCATGTGGTGCCATCCCATGAGCAGAAGCTGAATGAGATAGTACTATACCCGTAGTAGGAGCATCGTCAAGCGATGAAAAAGGTCGCTGACTAACTCGAATAAGGTCAGAATTAAGGTCAGTGAGAGTGGCTGTCAATGGCTGTTGGTCCTCCGGAGCTGGCATGGATGCATGGATATGGCTCCAGGGCCATTCTCTCCGAGATCATGTAATAACACCGGAGTTTTTAGTGGTATAATCATATTGACAAAAAGCACAGATTGGAGGCGAGTGCCTACCAGAGGTACATCATATTATTAGTACAGATTACGTAGAACACTGCTAGTAGTCTAAGATGAGTACATGAACAAGGCAAGAGTCCTACTCCGTACCACATATACTAATAGCACTGCCAACCCCACCTTGGCCTCTTCTTTCCTTCATCTCTCCTAGGGGGACTCGGACCAGACATCAGCTCACTTCCCGTCACCCAAGCTTCAGTCAAGAACAAGCCGACAGGTTTGGATAAGAAGACACGCATACACACATTACCCCGGAAGAAGGAGAAAAAACCCGCATAATAAGCCGCTGCTGCAGCTTGTCTGTCCGATAGCTCCTCTGCTTTTCGGTAGGGAGAGAGGGAGAGAGTGCATAGGCCGACGGCCCCGACGACCAAACCGCAAAAAGGCCAAGGCCCAGTTTCCCCGCCCGAGGCAGCCAACTCCGCCGCCCTCCATCACGTCCTACGGTCCCATCATCGATACTACACGTGCACACGGTCTGCATCCCTACAGAACACAGCTTAGCTGTCCGGTTCAAACCACAACCCGACCGGTACACGCAAACCCTTTCAACAACTGGATATCTGTACAAACAAAGCCTGGTCTCGCGAGAATCTCGTCATGGCCCAATGAAACGCAATAACCCCGCCAACAGACACACCATGAACGCCTGGCTCCATTCGACCGCCAGCTATCGATACCGCTGAAAGCCGAAAGCACACATACAGACGCTCCCTGTCTCCCAACCACCTTGCACACCTACCATTACCAACAACGAGGCATACATAGCCCTTCTATCCCGCCCGGCCGCCATCCTTTTCTTCTCTTCTCTTTTTCTTTGGTGGCCACCAGAGCGAGAGAGACGAGAAAAGATAAGCAGAGAAACAGAGAGAGAGAGAGAGCGCGAGAGAGAAGGGGAGAGAAAGGGGAACAAGATGAATTCATCCAGGAGGGACTCGTCCAGGGCGGCCTCCCCACGCGGCAGCTCCCAACAGCCTATGAGCATAGAAGCCATGCTAGATTTGGAAAGGAAGGAGGTGCTCGCGCTGCTGGAGAGCAGTCCTAAGGTGAGCACCTCGCCCGAGGGCAATCGACGCTCGGCCTCTCCGTACTCGAACCCGCGGTCCCCCGTGAGGAGCATGCTCGACATTGACGATGGCACTCCGTCGTCAGCAGCGGCCCATAGGAGCCCCAGCCGCCAGCCGCCCGTACGGAGCATGCTAGACATGTCCGGCCCGACGGGGCCGTACTCCTCCAAGAACATCGGCGGCGGCAGCAGCACGACACCCAGCACGCCCGTGGGCGACGGGCCTGCCGACCGGTCGTCGAGCCCTGCCGCACATGCGCAGCACCACCGCAGCATGTCGGACGCGGCATCCAGGGTGTCGGACATGCCCCGCAACGACCCCACGTCCGGCTACCAGTTCTCCGGCATACTCAACGCCCTGGGCGGCGGATACCAGCAGCAGATGCCCCTGCGCGCCGTGCGCACCAGCCGTTCCCAGAGCAGGGGAGGCTCCCTGGGCGAGGCCCTCCGCAACAGCGACCTCGGCGGCCTGCAGGTCCCCGGCGAGCGCCGTGGCCGCAACTCGTCCCTCGGCGGCAGCGCCGGGGCCGGCCTGGCGAGTCGCCTCGGCAACAAATCCAAGTCCCCCCACGGCCGCATCTCCAGCCGCTCTGGGTCCCCCTCCACATTCGGCTCGGCCCAGTCGCCGGTGGCGGGCAAGGGATACCTCGACGACGGCCAGACGTTCAACATCAGCGACGCCTACCGCCGCCTGTCGGACGCCAACCTTGCCTTCTCCACCGGGAGCCTGTCGCAGCTGCCTGGGCGCAAGCAGCCCAACAGCCCGGGGGAGGGCCGGCTGGCCAAGGATTATCTCGGTCCGGATGGGGAGTATCTTGGCTCTAGTGAAGAGGATGAGGCCTACTCGACCGATGATGAGAACCGTGGCCGTAAGAAGGAGCCGAGGAGGCTCAACCCCGACGCCAAGGGTGAGAGGAAGAGCCTCAGCCTCCTTGCCGTGGCAGAGGAAGAACGTAAGTGCGGGTGGCGGCGCTATCACGGGAAGCATGCGACGAGGACGAGGGTGCTGACAAGCTTCGGCGGCGAAACGACAACAGGATCCCAGATTGCCAAGGCTCATCAGTACCGGTCGCTGATCCCGGAGCCGGAGATCAAGGTGACGAGCTCGACGGGGGAGACGGCCAAGCTGTCCAAGGTGGCGGTGCACCCGCACACGAGCTACGACCACAAGCCCGGGTCGGCGACCCCCTCGGCCATCGACTCGGACGAGGAGGCCGACTTCCGGGAGATCAAGCGGGCGCAGAACCTGTCGTTCACCATGACCAACATCCTGTCGAACAACGAGGCTCACCGGGCGGTGCGCATCATCTACCGCGGCGAGTACAGCAAGATTGCGCAGACGGCGGACGAGGAGCACCGGCGGCTGCGCAAGTACCTGGTGGCGACGGACCTGAGCGAGGAGTCGACTCACGCGCTCGAGTGGGCCATCGGCACGGTCCTCCGAGACGGCGACACGCTGGTGGCCATCTACTGCGTGGACGAGGAGACGGGCATCACGGCGGCCGACGGCGGCGTGCCCAACGACCCGAAGGCCATGAAGGAGCAGGCCACGGCCATCAACACGATCGCCAGCTCCAAGTCGGCGTCGGGCAGCCTCCTCCAGTTCATGGGCGGCGAGTCGGCCAGCAACACGCCCCGGGGGTCCCCGGCGCCCAGCGGGCCCCGCGCCGGCGCCGGTGCCGGCGGGCCCGAGTACAACAAGGCCGAGGAGGAGAGGCAGCGCGCCGTCCGGGACATCACCGACCGCGTGCTCAGGCTGCTGAGGAAGACGCAGCTCCAGGTCAGGGTGGTGGTCGAGGTGATTCACTGCAAGAGCCCCAAGCATCTCATTACGGAGGTGATTGACCTCGTCAGCCCGACGCTGGTTGTTATCGGAAGCCGGGGGCGGAGTGCTCTAAAAGGGTATTGTTTTTTTTTTTTTTTTTTGGTTTTCTCCCCCACCCTCTCTCCTTGATTTGTTTTCCTTCTTTCTCAACTCCCCCCTTTTCCATGCCGACCTTTTCTCTTTCATCTCTCTCTCTCTCTCTCTCTCTCTCTCTCTCACACACACACACACACTCTCTCTCTCTCTCACAGACACACACACACATCTCCCCCATGTTCAGTACTAGACTAACCGTCCTAGCGTCATCCTTGGCTCCTTTTCCAATTACCTGGTGACCAAGAGTTCGTCGCCGGTCATGGTGGCGAGGAAGAAGCTCAGGAAGCAGAGCAAGTTCAAGAAGACGGCGGTTCGACAGGTCAACAATCTCAGCAACCCGACAGCGCGTAGCCTTACGCATGCCAAGATTGATTAGGAGGGTGGTCGTCGTAGCCGTCGTAGCCTTCTTCATCGTCGTCGATGGAGTCAATAACTTGCGATAGACATCAGCCTTGGAGGGTTATTTTCTTTTCTTTTTTTTTTCTGTTTTGTTCCCTCCTCCAACCCAGAGCGTATCGGTGTTTTCTATTGTTTCTTTCCTCTTCCTGTTATCGTGGGAGTTTTTTTTTCTTCTTTTTTTACAACGATGTTTGTACTGTTCTTATGGAATAAAAAAAAACAATGGTGATTCATGGGATGAGACGGTCACAGAATAAAGCGGTCTACCTAATAACCTTGTTATCGGTACCATACTTGTTGCGAGGTTTTTAAAAAAAAAATTTATATATATAAATAAAAAGCGAAATCAGAGCGAGATATGAAGGATTATCAAAGTAAAGAGAGAGAGAGAGAGAGAGAGAGAGAGAGAGAGAGTCGAGACAGATATACAGGTTACTAGTAATGATACAAAAAGGATTGCTACCAGCAGCTTACTAGTTATCAGTACTATGAAAGATACTACACCGGACGGGCTGTTAATATCGTTATGTACTCGTATGTTGGGTGGATGACCCGAAATCGACAATGGCCGGACTAGTCTTCTTGAAATGGCCACTTTCTCCCCATCTGACGTAGTTATGGCAGCCATCATGACTTCTTTTCTCAAGCCTGGCAACCTGGCAAGCCCATGGGGTCCAGGATGAAGCGGATCAGGTTACAGGGCGGACAGGGCAGGGCTTAGTTTAGTGGGACGGACAGGGAGAGGGGGGGGGGAGGGGACATGGGGACGGTAGGCTGCTAATATATATCTGGTATCCTGGTATCTGGCCTGCGCGGGAAAGCCGAGTGAGTGGGGTGATGATGATACCGTAGCATGGTAGCATGGCAGCAGGACTGGATGGTGGTGGCCGATGTTGATGCTGCCTTCTTCTTCCGATTGAGCCGGCATGGAAAGGTTTACACCACATTGTACTCCGTATAGTACTATTTACCTGATATACCTTATGACTGGATGAGTGAAAGCAATACAGTAAGAGATTATATAGGAAATAATAAGAATGGAAATAGATAATGAATAATGAATCAAGTAATGAATGATGCAGAAAAGAAATTAAACATAAAATAATAATAATAAAGGACCTAGAAAAAGAAGAGAAGGAAAAGAAGATACTTCTCATGTATGTAATGATATCAATCATGTCCTGGAGGTGGGACCTCGCTCTTTTTTGTGGTTTTTTCTGTGACGACTGACGTGCAATGACTGCCATCTTTCACG